TATAGCCAGCTGCTTTGGTGGAGGGTCACAGATGCAGGCCTAGTCAGGGTTGAATGTGTGCTCCCCTTCCTAGCCAGGGTGGACTCAACAGAAGCCTAGTGGAGAACCTAAACTTTCACCCCCACCCAGCTGTAATGAGGTCCTTCCCTCTCTTCTCGCCCTCACTCCTTCCCCCAGGGTCAAGGGAGGCTGAGTGGAGAACTTGGACTCCCCCCCACCTGACAGTAATAAGGTGGTGCTCCCTCCATTATTGGGAAAATGAGACAGTACGAGAGATAGAAATTGAGTTTTGAAAGAGATTCAGAGAGAGGAAGGAGAAAAGAAGAGGAATAGAGGAGGTGGGAAGGGAAGGAGGAAGGAGGAAACGGATAGGTAAGGAGTGCAAGAGAAGGACAGGAATAACCGAAATTGGTAGACATAGATAACTGAGAGACGTTGAAAAAGAGAGTGAGATACCGAGAGAGAATAAGAGAGATTGTGAGAGAGATGTTGGGGTAAATTGTGAGATTTTCCTGCACTGAGTTTCTCTTTCTGGAACATCTGTCAATCTTTGTCGCATTTCCTGGGTTGATTCTTTAATGCCTAAATCTTTTCTTTCCTGTTGTCTATTGCTTTATATTTTTGGTTTACTTTGGGTACATTTCTTTTGTCATGTGGTGAGTTTCCATCTTCTTTCTTTGGTAGGATGCAGAGTGTGAGTCTAGTTTTTTGTTTCTAAATCTATGGTTTAGTCTAGGACCTATGCTCTCTGGGATAGCTGATGGGAGAAGTGGGAAGGGCCAGGATCAGAGTCCCCTCCTCTGTCCAGAGAAGCATAGTCCAACAAGCCAATGGTTGCTACTGTGGTTTGAAGCGGGAGTCAAGTCTATTATAGTCATAATTGATGCCCCCCATGCCAGAATAGTGCTTGTCACCCAGTAGGCACTCAATAAATATGTGGTGAATAATGTACAGCATGGTGACTATAGTTAATACTACTGTATTGCATATTTGAAAGTTGCTAAGAGAGTAAATCTTAAAAGTTCTCATCAAAAGGAAAATTTTTTGTAGCTATGTGTGGTGATGGATGTTAACCAGACTTATTGGGGTGATCATTTTGCAACATATTACAACTATCGAATGATTATGCTGTACACCTGAAATTGATATAATGTTATATGTCAATTATATCTCAATTAAAAAATAAATAAATAAATGAATTTGTGGGAAAAAAATAAGTGATGGATGAATAAATGAATGAATGAGTGAAAGAACACACAGATGAGTAATTGAGTGAGACTTCAGTCAGTTTGATGAAGATGGTGGCAGGGGTGGGTGGGCAAAGCACCATAGAGAAAACAAAATTAAAGGTCAAGAAAAAGTATCAGTCAAAGCGATAAAATGTATATATCAGACTTTTAGTGTTATGGCTAAACAAGCTACAGCTCAGAAAGATAAGGAGATGACAGCAGTTGAAAAATAGAAAGAATAGAATGAGAAAGTCTAATATAAATCTAATGGAAATTCCAGAAGAAGCTATTAGAGATAAAGAAAGACAATATTCAAAGAGATAATGGCTCAGAAATGTCCATAATTGAAGAAATGCAAGAGTGTTTAGATTGAAGACCTATGGTGAGTCATGGACGAGATAAATAAAAACAAATCTTACCTAAACACTTTGAGGTAAAAATATAGACTTTGGACAAAGCACAAATCTTTTAAAAGCAACTAGAAAGAGAAATATTACGTACAAAGGAATAAATTTTGACTGTCAGCAGACTTCTCAAATAAGTGATTTTTGTACTCATCTAACCTATTATGCAAGATTGACAATGTACTAAATATATTTTCAGGCAAAGAAAGTTTGAAAATGTTTACAACTAATAGACCACCACTAAAAGAACTACTAATGATTCCACTTCAGAAAGAATAAAACTGTGCCCAAGAGGAAAAAGGAGGAAGCAACGATGATCAAAGAACTTGATAAACATTAAAGCTAAATAAATATTTATGACAAAAAATAATAATGACTACTTTTAGGGCCATAAAAGCAACTTTGATCTAAAATAGTAGACAAAAATAACATGAAAGACTGAAGGTGGGGAATTCACTGTTAAAAATCCAAAGAGCATTTTATTGTTTGGGAGAAGTATATAGAAACTGATTGATTTTTGATTTTTTAAAAATTAAATATGTGTGTGAAAAAATTAATGGTAACTTTAAATCTTGCATATAACTTACTATTGTGGGAGCGGGGAGGGAATAAAGTGCAACCATTCCAACAGAAGGCAGGAAAAATGGAAAAAAAAACCCACAAAGATAAGGAAGTAGAAATCAGTTCAAATATATTATTAATCATTATCCTATCAAACATAAGCAGATTTAATCCATCTTAAAATTCTCAGATGGCGTGCCAGGCTGGTGGCGAAGCGGTTGGGTTTGCACGTTCCACTTTGGCAGCCCAGGGTTCACCGCTTTGGATCCTGGGTGCGGACCTGCTCACCACTCATCAAGCCATGCTGAGGTGACGTCCCACATAGAGGAACTAGAAGGACTTACCAACTAGGATATACGACTATGTACTGGGGTTTGGGGGAAAAAAAAGAAAAAGAGGAAGATTGGCAACAGATATTATCTTGGGACCAATCTTCCTCAAAAAAAAAGATCCTCAGATGGGATTGCTATTTTAAAGAGACACACCTATAATGTTAAACAACGCAAGTGTAAAAGTAAAGATATAGTGGTATCAAAAGGCCACAGGAGCCAGCTTAAAGGGTTGGTCAAAGGTAGAGACTTTGAGTACAAAAAGAATAATGACGCTATTTCCAGCAACAGTTATATTAGTCTTTAAGCATATTTTTATTGGATGAATAAATGATTGAATAACGAAGGGTGGGACATTAGGGGTGTGTCTGGGTGGTGCAAGGGTCTGATTGTATCAAAAACTACATTTAAATACATCGTGTTTCACCATGAGGACACACTCAAGAAACTGTATTTCCAGAGAGACGCATCAAGCAGGCTTGAAAATGGGCGCTGCAAGGGGATTCAGGAGCGGTAAGCCGGGAGAAGGCAGGGAGGAATGATGGGGTCTAGAATGTGGGATTTAAGTGGTCAAAAAGAGTTCAAAAGATCAAAGGAGCAAGATTAAAGGATGCAAATCACTCAGCTCCATTCCCACTGGAGGGAGATGATAGAGAGTGGCTTGTAAACTGAGAATGGAAGGAAGATCAGAAGGTCTGATTGCCTCATGAAAGTCAGGGTGAATGTGAATGTTATCCAACCTTTCAGAGTAATTGGCTCTTTGCCTCTTTCTCTCTCTCTCTCTGTCTATCTCCCCCCACCGTCTCTCCCCCATCCTCCCTTCCTCCTTCCTCTCTCTCTTATAAACTCTTTTCTGGCTCTTTTTCCTCACTCTGACACATCAGCTCCTCATAGCTAGTTGTTGCCAAAGGTCAAATAAAGGAACAATAAAGTAGAAGCAAAAAGAAGTGTGGGTAAATAAAATTGCTTTTGGAAGGAAAAGTACATGGTGCTAAGAAAGAGATAAGAGAACACGGAATATGGTGAAGTTGGGAAGAGAAGGATAGCACCTGCAAGTTAGTGTTGTTTAAACTGAGAAAAGACAGGGGAGTAGGTGTTGACTAGCTGTTAAGTGGAAGATAAACAGCAGGGATGAGCACGTGCAAACACCCAGAAATAGGAGGCTCCTGACTAGTTCAAAGAATTGAAGGAAGTCCAGTGTGGCCAGGACATGGAGAGCCAAGAAGAGAGGAGAGCTCAGCAGGTGCCTAACATTTTCGTGGCCAGGACAAGAATACAAATGGAAGCCCACATACTATATATCTTAAGTTTTTAAAAATTGTCAATCAAGCTATCAAACTGTTAGGTAAAATATGTTCTACCTGGCCATCTTGACAAATATATCTTCCTGGAACTTGAGATTCAAATTTTGAATTCTTGGGTTCTTTCAAGTTACACAGCAGAACACAGCAATGGAGGGAGAACTAGCCCCAGCCCTTCCTCCTCATTCTCACCCCTGTCTGCATACTCAAGGTCAAGGCTCTGTTGATATCCCTTGACCAACAGTCGCCCCTTGGGCCAGTGTGTATGCACATTGACAGCATGTTCTCCACTCGGGAGGATGAATTCAGGGAAGAGGCTATGCAGGCTCGGGGCCCTTTGGCAGAAAATCCTATGTTCCCTGATACAGGGAGTATGATTTAGAAGTGGGCAAGTATTCCAGGTGGTCGTGACACTTTTGTCCTGCAGACTCCATTCCCAGTGGGGAGTGGCACATACAGAGAGAACCGAGAGAGGCCCTCTTAAAGCCTTGTTACTCTAAGTCTTACTTGCAGATCAGTAATATCAGCATCACCTGGGAGCTTGTTAGAGCTGCAGGATCTCAAGCCTTACCCCAGACCTACTGAATCAGAATCTGCATTTTAACAAGATCCCTAGGTGATTTGTATACTTATTAAAGTTTGAGAGGTGCAGGACTCAATGAAGGGACTTAAGACAGGGGCTGATTTTGCCCAGGTCTAAGGCAGCACTGCCTGTTCCTGTCAGGCTCTCTAGGCCAGGGTCAGTGAGGATGTGGAATTTATCCCACCTGCACTGGAGAGTCATAGAAGGGTTCTCAGCAGTACAGTTACATGGTCTGAATTACTTTTCTAAATAACAGCAGTCCCGATCCTTTGAGCACTACTTTGCAACAGGCTTTGTGATTTACTGATAGGCTCTCGGTGAATCCTCGCTATAGCCTAGTGAAGTAGAGATTATAATTATTTTTCAGCAGGAATAACAGGCTTATGGAGGTCAAGTCATTTTTTCTTTAAATTCACAGAGGTACTATTTGAATGACCTGGGATTCAAAAGCAGTGGCCTTGAATACTTTGCATTCATAGAAATGAATGAGCCATCACTCTCCACCCCAACCCCACTCTGTTCCACAGATCTACCAATGCAGCTTTCTGGTGCCCAGATGAACAGAGGAGCCCCAGACCCACTCTTATAGCCACATGAGTGATTACAGCATTGACATGATACAACAAGACCAAGTTGATCACAGTGAGTACAGTGGTCTGCCTTCCCTCCAGTCTGACCTCCATCTCTGGGGGGCTCACAGCCCTCCTCAAAGGAGGGACAGTTGCAACATTCAAATGAATCCCAAGTGCCTCCGGCTCAGACTGAATCCTACTTTCCAGGATGGATTAACTTGTAACACAGAAAATAGGGTGCATTAGTCTGGGTCCTCTAAGAAGCAGATAGGATCAAGATAGGGTTAAACCTGCAAGGATTTTATTAGTGGAAATGCCTGATGGAGAAAATGGGGAGGGAGTCAGCGGAGGCTGGGAGAGCTGTCAGACCATGCCACAAATCTGACCCCTAGTGAAGGAGAAGTGAAGGTTGAGTAGAAGCATCCTAGACCACCTACCGTGTGGTCTAAGTTGGGCAATGCTGTTGGTGAAATCTGAATAAGCTTGATAGATTGTACTGATGTCATTTTCCTGGTTTTGATAGTGTACTACAGTTATGCAAGATGTCACCATTGAGAGAGGCGGGGTGAAGGGTGCACAGGACCTCCTCCCTGTATATTCTTTTTTTTGCAACTTCCTGTGAATCTGTAATTATTTCAAAAGAAAAAGAAAAAAAACCTGCTAGACAATGTGATAATTTTTGTTTTTAATATTAATACATATATTTCAAATAACTTAAGAGAAAATTAGTCTATTATATTTAACCAGATATTTACCATTTCAGATACCTTCATTTCCAAAGTTCCAATTTTCCCTCATGTATCATTTCCCTTCAGCCTGAAGAACCTCCTTTAACATTTCTATAGAACAGGACTACTGGCCACAAATTCTCATAGTTTCTCTTCATCTGAGAATGTCATCATTTCACCTTCACTTTTGAAGGATATTTTCCCTGGATACAGAATTCTCAGTTGACAGTTTTGTTTCAACACTTTAATGATTTTGTTCCATTGTCTTCCTTGGTTTCTGATGAGAAGTCTATGGTCATTTGATCTAGTCTAATTGTTTAATTTATCCATCTTTTCATGCATAGACTGTTTCAACAATCTCATTAAAGAAAATACCCCCTACTCTGAGTCACAAAGATATTGGCACACAATGTCTCTTAATATTTCCAAAATTTCATTTTTGACTAAGACATCTGGACATCTATGGTATAAAATGTGAATCATCTTTCAGCTGAGGCAGAGGCTCCAGAGGTTAACTTCCTTTGTCTGAGGTCGTTAGAGCAAGACCAGGCTCCTTGAAAGCATTGCTTCCCAGTGAATGAATGACTTTATCAGCTTCCCATTTTCTCATAGGCTTTCCATCTCAGATTTCAGAACCCCTGATGAACAGAATGACCCCAGAGAATCCCCAGCCAGACCTGTTTATCAACATGGATGATTCCAGCATGAACTTGATACCACAGGCTCCAGCTGATCCCAGTGAGTATAACTCTCCTGTGCCCTCCCTCCTCCACCGTTACCCTCTTCTCATGGGGCCCTATAATTGTATTTTGCATTTGTTTTAAAGCAGTTATTGATTGTTATATCTTCTTTAAAAAATCTATTCAAAAAATGTTCTCATCATAAAAGACGAAGTTATAAATTTCATGTCAAAGTCAAATGCCTTTGGCCCATGCTTGACCAAATTATTACAGACAAGCTGAGAACGCAAAATGTAGCACAAGTAAGAATGTTTTTCTAGGAGGAAAGGACTGAAGCATAGGCAGAGAGGAATACAGAAAGCCCATTTTCCAAGGTGGGATACAATTCTGACACCAATTTCGATACGTGGGTTTTTTCCCCACACCAAGCAGTTCTCCAACATCAGCTGAATGTCCTACAATTCAGCTCAATTATGACACTATGCACCTGGAGATAGCATCAGATTCCACAGGTTAAGGTCTCAGTCCTACAAGACTGCCCCCACTTCAGATGCCAATCACAAGTCCAGGTTGTCACCTGTGCTTACGATGGACTGGCTATAAATCAGAGGTTCCCACAACCCCCTCCTTGGGTTCAATTAATTTTCTAGAGTGGCTCACAGAATTCAGGAATCCAGTTTACTCACTAGATTACCAGCTTATTACAAAGGATATTAAAGGATACGAATCAACAACCAGATGAAGAGATACAAAGGGTAAGGGCCTGAACAAAGGAGCTTCTTTCCATGAGAAATGTGGGGCCAAGCATGGTGCCACGTGGATGCATTCTGGTTCACCAACCTAGAAGCTCCCTGAAACCCCTCCTTTTGGGTTTTTACGGCAGCTTCATTACATAGGCATGATTGATTAAATCATTGCCTGCTGATGATTGACTCAACTGCTCCAGCCCCACTTCCTTCCCCAAATATCAGAGGATGGGACTGAAAGTTCCAACTCTCTCATCAGGGTTGGTTCCTCTGGCAATTAGTCCCCAATCTTTAGGAGATTTCCAAAAGTCATGTTGTTAACATAAACCCAGCTGTGGTGGAAAGGGGCTTGTTATGAATTACAAGACACCTATTTCATCTTTATGGCTCTGAAGCAATTTCAGGAACTGAGGACAAGAGAACAAATATTATGACAAAAGATGCTCCCATTGCTCTTACCTCTTAGGAAATTCCAAGGGTTTTGAGAGCTGTGAGCCAAGGATCATGGATAAAGACCAAAATATATATATATTTATTATAAATCACAATATCTCGGAAATATTGTGGTCCAATATGGTGGGTAAATGGGGAAAAGACCCTTCCTCCTTTTACTGAAATGGGCATATAACAGGAAAATTAACACAGCATTGCCTTGAGTTCTATAACCTACGTATGTTCTTGTGTGATTATTAGTCTATTCAGGGTCTGCAGTTCTTTTTTAGCAAATTTTGGTAATTGTATTTTCTTGGAAAATTTCTTATTTCTCTACATTGCCATTTTAAAAAATAATCTATAATTTTTCAATCATCTCCACATATTTAGTTATGTCTCCTTTTTTTTTTTTTTTTTTTTTGGTGAGGGAGATTGGCCATAAGCTAACATCCGTTGTCAATCTTCCTCTGTTTTTGCTGAGGAAGATTGGCCCTCAGCTAACATCCGTGCCCATCTTCCTCTATTATTTATATGGGACACCTACACAGCATGGCTTGATGAGCAGTGTGCAGGTCCACGCCCAGGATGCGAACCTGAGAACCTCAGGCCGCTGAAGCAGAGCACGTGAACTTAACCACTATGCCACCAGGCTGGCCCCTATGTCTCACGTCTTATGAACCTTTTCCCAGAGGAGTGAATAGAGCTTCAGAAAGTCTGGAAAATCCATTTTCCAGAAAAAATGGATTAGGTTCCTGAATAAATAAGTGAAGAAAGGAAACTCATTTTGAGGAGTGTGTTATATTCAGGTGCAGGAACATGAGGTTTCTTCCTATTTTCTAAAAGAAATAAAGCATGAAAGAGAGAAGGGAAGCTACTGTCCACTGTCCTAAGGTTAGGTAGATAGACTGAGTACCAGAGAAAAGGATTTTCTGTTTTCAGTGCAGGGCAAACTGAAACTCAAGGGAGCTAGTTTCCAGAGAGAATAGACTGAGTACAGAGAAAAGTAAAGTGGTAACATTTCCTGGGGGGGACAAACTAAATCTCAGAAAACAGAAGACAGAGCACTGTTACATAGGACTTAGCCTCCTGGAGTCAAGACCTGGGATCTATCACTCCTCGATTCCAAGCCTGATTGGAAGAAAGTCATGGGAGGTTCACAGCTGTGGTGTTTGGGGGAGAGGGTAGTGTTAGTGTAACCACTCCCTCTCCATCTCTGCTCTACAGCGATATGGAAGAAGCATCAAGAATGCACCTCATTCACCCACATACAGCATGAAGAGTTGGAGGCTCTGTTTAGCCATACCATGTTTCCAGATAAAAATCTCCAGAAGGAACTCGCTTTGAAACTCAACCTACCACAGTCAACGGTAAAGGTCCATCTAATCCCCTGAGAGGAGCTTGGTACACCATCCAAACCACATTCTACTATTCAGCCTGGAAATTCCCTCCATAACACAATAATAATAATAACATTTCATTTATTGAGTACCCACTGTGTGTTGGTACTGAACTGGGCATATATTGGCCCTACTATCGTCTAGTTTAAAAGATGAGGAAAACTAAGATTCAGGGGCAAAGTGACTGCATCACAGAGGTAATAACCAGTGTAACTGTAATTAGAACTCCAGAGGTCTTGTATATACAGCTCAAATAGAGGAAGGACTGTCATCCGAACAGACTCCTCATTTAGGGTCTTCTCAAGCAAAACCCTCCAATCTGTTATTATAACTCCCCCCAACCTCTGAGCCTTCTAAGGCCCCAAATTTTTGTTGGAGTATTTTTCACTGTAGAGCCATTCTAAAATAATCTTGAAAAGCCTTCACTTCAAATTCCCCACCTCCCCATAGTTCCTTGAACTAGCTTCTCTTCTTTAGAGTTCAGGACCCTTTCTCTGAACCTCCAGCACAACCTCTGAAACATACCCCCTTTCTTTCCTTCTTCCATCTCTGGGGTCCCCGTTCTGATCCCTCGCTGTTCCTCCTATTGACTCCACTCATGCCCACCTCTGTGCTCTCAGAACTCAGTGTCTGGGTGACTTGGAGAGGACATGAGGGTTATCATCTGGCTTTTTTCACCCAGCAGAAGCCTCAAACTCCTTCTCCATTAACAAACCATAATCTCCACTCTTCTCCCACTCTCAGACTTGGTTCAAGAACCGGCGGTTCAAATTGAGGAAGCAGCAGCGGCAATAAGAGCAATCACTAAATCAACCATACCAGATCCTTCCAGGCAAGAATATGCCCCACTCACCCACAGCACCAACCAGGCCTCATTCTTTTTTTCCTGCAGTTTCAGATTTCTATAGCTCCCTTCCACCTCAGCCCTTAGGCCTTCTAATTGGGCATGGGACTCTGTCATCACTGAGAGTCCCACAAGTGATGTCCAAATGCAAGATCCTCAGTTGGAGAGGCTAGTGGCCTCAGTTCCTGCCTTGTACTCGGATGCCTATGACATAGCCCAAATCATAAAACTATATAGTTTTCCTGATGAGGATGAGATATCCAGATCTTCTTTTCACTGTCTATATCAGTATCTCTCACCCACAAGGCCCCAGCTAGAAGAACAGAGTTCCTCTCTTAACGTCTTTGCTGGTCTGGCTTTAGGTCTATCTCCTGGGCAAACCTGGTCCAGTATGACAAGCTGGGGCTTTGCAGCCTACAGTCTAAAGAGACAGTCTGGAATTCCAGAACCCCTCCAGCATGGTGGACTTTGGATTTCATTGATTAAAGTGCTAATAAATACCAGATCATATAGAAAAAGGATCTTGCCTCTTGTATATGCCTCTTTTCTTTCTTTTTTCTGCTTCTTAACCCAAATTTCTGGCTTGGTGTCACTTTGATTTCCATGGAAATGTGAAAACTAAACTTTTTTAAAAGTATAGCTCAGGACTTTACAATCAGCCCCACAACTCTCCCTGAGGAGAGGCCCTCTTTGTCTCTTAGACGACCGATGAGACTCCACAATCCCATCTTCCCAAAAATATCTTAGATTTTTTTAAGAATGTCAACAGCCTTTAAGGGTCATTCACTTTTAATGGGAGCAGGTTATAAACTTACATTTTCTTTCAAATCTTTAGGTCTGGGGTTTTCTAAAGGGTATTTTCAGTCAAAATTTAAAGGTTAAATCACTATCACCATTAGTTTTAATATAATATGAGTCCATACATAGTAAGAAATGTAAGAACTGGCATGGGAAGAGATGAAACAGATTTTTGAAGATGAGATGATCATCTAGGAAAACCAACAAAATTAAGAGTCATGTATTAGAATGACAGTTCAGCAAATTTTCCAGCTACATGATCAACCTACAAAATTAATAGCATTTCTCAAAACCAATAATAAACACATAATAAAATAAGTACCTCAATGAAAAATATAAAGTATCCAGGAATTAACTAAGAAAATTAAGTCCTCTGTAAGGAAAACTTCAAAACTTGAATAAAGGACATAGGAAAAATTTTGAAAAAAAGGCATTGAGGCCACAAAATAATAAATTTAAAAGGATTGAATTAACATAAAGTATGTTCTCCATACACAATGGAATGAAATTAGAAATCAATAGCAGAAGAAAATTCAGGATATTCACGAAATTCACAAATATATGGACACTCCTAAATAATCAATGAGTAAAGAAGAAATCACCAGGAAAATTAGGAAATACTCAGAGGTGAATGAAAAGAAAAACACAACATACCAAAACTTATGGAATGAAGCTAGATCAGTGCTTAGAGGAAAATTTATAGCAGCAAAAGCCTATATTTAAAAAATAAGATCTCAAATCAATAACCTTTTTTTAAACAGGAAGGAAGCTGGCATAGTTATATTAATATCTGTCAAATTAAACTTTAAGGCAAAACACTTTGTTGGAAGTAAAAATACATTAAATAAGGACAAAAGGAACAATTAACCTGAAAGGTGTAATTCTGAATTTGTATACATTTAACAACATAGTCCCAAAATATACGAAGTAAAAACTAACAAAATCCTTGGGGAAACTTAGCAAATGCACAACCATAATGGAAGATTTTAATATAATACTCGATAATTGATAGGTCAAATGGATAAAAATTTAGTATGGGTAAAGATTTTAACTACACTGTTAATGAGCTTTACCTAATGGAAGTATATAGACTTCTGCATCCAGCTGGTAGAGAATACACATTCTTTTCAAGCACATTATGACCACACATTAGACCACAAAGCAAATCTTAACAAACTCAATTGAATCAACAACATACAAACAGCATTCTTTGAGCATAAGGTAATTTAATCAGAAGAAACTCCAAGCTCTCTATTTAGAAACTAAAAAGTACATTTCTAAGTAATTAATCAATCATGGAAGAAATCAGAATGTGAATAATCTGGTATCACACATTATATAATAATAACTGGATTAGCGTTTACTGGGGGAAACTAACAGAGACCATAGCAGCAGCAGGTTTGTAGGTCCCTGTTACTCATCACATTCTGGGTCATCGTGAAGGGATCTTGCAGGGCAAGATTGCAGACCTAGGAAAGAGACATTGGGACTTAGGCTGTGAGGTTTTTTGTTTATTATTTTTTTTCACTTTTGATTTTTTAAATAATCTTTATTTTTTAGAGAAGTTTTAGGTTCATGGCAAAATTAGAAGACACAGAGATTTTCCATATAGCCCCTGCTTCCACATATACACAGCTTCCCCCACTATTAACAACTCACACCAGAGTGGTACATTTGTTACAATTGATGAACCTACCTTGATGCATCACTATCCCCTAATGTCAGTAGTTTATATTAAGGTTCACTCTTGGTGTTGTACATTATATGGATTTTGACAAATGTATAATGACATGTATCCACCATTATAGTATATAGAACAGTTTCACTGCCCTAAAAATCCTCTGTGCTCCACCTATTCATTCCTCCCTCTCCCCTAACTTCCAGCAACCACTGATACTTTTACTGTCGCCATAGTTTTAGCTTTAAATCAATAAATTTTCACCTTAGGAAACTAGAAAAAGAAGAGCAAACTAAGTCCAAAGCAAGCAGAGGGAAGCGAACATGACAAGAGCAGAAATAAATGAAATAGAGAATAGAAATCAATGGAGCAAATCAACAAAATCAAAAGCTAGTCCTTTGAAAAGATTGACAAAATGGCAAACCTTGACCAAAAAAAAAAAAAAAGGAGACTCAAATTATTAGAATCAGAAATGAAAAACCTTACAGAAATAAAAAACATTATGAAGCAATACTATGAACAATTGCGTAACTTTTATAATTTGTATGACAAATTAGATAACTTAGATGAAATGGACAAATTCCTAGGAAGACACAAAATACCAAATCTGATTCAACAAGAAATAGAAATGCTGTGAATAGAGCTTTAACAAATAAAGAGATTGAATTAAAAATCAAAAACTTCCCATAAAGAAAAGTCCAGGCCCAGATGGCTTCACTGCTAAATTCTACGAAAAGTTTAAGAACTAACAATCCTTCAGAAACTCTTCCAAAAAACAGAAAAGAACACTTCCTGACTCATTCTATGAGATCAGTATTACCCTGATACCAAAACTGAACAAAGACATTGTAAGAAAACTATTCTCATGTCTCTCATGAATATAGATGCAAAAATTCTCAACCAAATACTAGAATACTGAATCCAGCAACACATAAAAAGGATTATATACTAGACCAAGTGGGGTTTATCTAGGAATGCAAGGTTGGTTCAACATACAAAAATCGATCAATGTAATACAGCACATTAATAGAATAAAGGATGAAAACCGCATGATCATCTCAACAGGCATAGAAAAAGCATTTGACAAAATTCCACACCCTCCATGATAAAGATACTCAACAAACTACGATAAACTATCAAATTTTTCAACATGATAAAGGCCATCTATAAAAAATCCACACGTAACATCATACTTAATGGTGGAAAACTGTAGGCTTTCTCCCTAAAATCAGGAATGGGAACAAGTTAGGGACGGCCACTCTCACCACTCTTGTTCAACATAGTGCTGGAAGTTCTAGGCAGTATAATGAGGCAAGAAAAAGAAATAAAGGGCACCCAAATTAGAAAGGAAGAAGTAAAAATATCTCTATTCACAGATGGTATGATTGGTTCTAGGTACTTTTGCCGTAAGCATCTTTGCTGTAGACATCTTTGCCGAAAACATTTCCACTGCATAACTAATTTGACTATAAGGCAATTTAGTAAAAGAGAAAATAATGAAAAATAAAATAAAAGAGGAACATTAAAAAGGACATAATGAAACAAGTAGTACATATCTGGACTACATTTAAATGTTCTATCACATGCCCAGTCCCTAAATTTCACCAAATCATCTCAACCAGATTCTGTGCCAAATACCAAAATTCTGTCCACATCATGTTCTCCACTATCAAATAGCAAAAACTTTTCACCATTTTCAAGAAACATATACTCATCAGGAATCACATAACTATTTCTCTTTTGGGGGGGTGGAGAGACAGGAGGGGAGCTTGATTCTTCTTTTGCCTCCAACTTCTAATATTGCATGATAAATTTGGTAAAGATGACATTGAAGAACAAGCTGTTGCATCTAAATTAGCTAAAGAATCCATAATTAATGCTCTCAAAGAGAGTCATGAATGACTAGCTGCCTCTTTTATATTTGCCATAGCTTGGTAAACTTTTGGTTTTGATGGGTGGGAGGGATGACTCTGCTCACTGAAGAATTTGCTGATATGTTATCATTTTCTAGTATAGTATGCAGTCTGGCTTTACACTCTCTTTAATTTCACACTTCCAGTAAGTTTTATCACCATACTTTCTAGCTGAAACCAAACTGTCAAACCAAACTGTCAACCAGTTATTTTATCTTTTATGGCAGAATTGCCTTACGGCCAATTACAGTCGTGTGTCACTTTAATGATAGGGATACATTCTGAGAAATGTGTCATTAGGTGATTTTGTTGTTGTGTGAACATGAGAGTGTACTTACACAAACCTGGATGGTCTAGCCTACTACATTTATATGGTACTAATCTTATGGGACCACCATCATATATGCGGTCCATTGTTGACTGAAACGTCATGCAGTGCATGACTGTAGTTATGTGGCAAAAATGCTTGTGGCAAAGATGTCTATGGCAAAGATGCTTAAGGCAAAAATATTGGGCACAGGCATGATCTTATATGTATAGAAAATCCTAAGGAATTCATAAGAAAACTATTAGAACTAATAAACAAGTTCAGCAAAGTTTCAGGATACAAGATCAATAGACAAAATTTTTACAATTTTCAACTGCTAATTCCTCACCCCAAATAAGTCTACCTACTTGGACATATATGCATGGAAGAATCCAGGGGAAAAAGGAATTCAGTGTCTGTTAATTACAGCAGAATTTAGCATATCTGTTGTTAGTCCATACCTTCAAATAACTGCATTCTTGAGCAGTTGTTATGTGCTAGACATCATTTATGTGCTTTACACACATTAATACATTAATGTGGTAACATATTAACACATGGTCACACCCAGTATTATCATCCCCATTTCACAATTGGGAAAACTGAGGTAGAGAGTGGTTAAGCAGCTTGGTCAGAGCCACATACCTAGAAATCAGCAAAGCCAGAATTATATATTTTCTTTCCTCCTAAGATAGCTGAATGGGCTTCTTTGAAGAGGATGAGGTAAAGAAGAACACCAGACTGGGAGTTAGAATAACTGAGTCTTTCCTCTGTCTCTTCTGCTAGCAAGCTGTGTGGCCTCAGACAAATGATTTAACCTCTGTCTCCTCACCTGTAAAAAGAGGAAGCTGGGCTAAGCAATAGCTAAGCCTCCCACCACCTCTAATTCTCTCACACTGGGTTTACTCTATGCCTGATTTCTGAATTACAAACTCCCCCTTTTTCAGCCACCAGGGAAAGAAGAGGGCCAGGAGAGGACAGCCACTTACGTGTCATGACAAGAAATAGGAGATACAGAAACAGGACCTCTTGTCACTTGCACAAGCTGCTGCTTCAGCCAGTGACGGGCCTAGGTGAAAAGCATGGTTATAATTAGAGCAGCAGCCTGTCCTGAATGCTCCACCAGCCACTGTGAGCACAGCTGGATCTGCCGACTGCACGCGCAGAAGTCTTAGAGGCTGCTCTGGCCTTGAAAACGATCCTTCTTAAAGGGATTTTACTCCTTCCTTGAGGGAAAGGAAACCCATTGATATAAAGCCCTACTTCCCTCCTGGCTTCCTCTGCTGGATGCCACTCAGGTAGATACCAAGTGTTGATAAATACAGGGGAAAGAAAAAATCGTAAGCTGAGCCTGGTCACATTGCCTCTTGCGATATAGTTTTATTTTTAACTTGGAAACACTTGAACTATTTCTGTTGAAGTTTTCTCTCCTTTCCCTGCCTCCTCAACAGAACTCTGTCCTCTGCTGCAGCTGAACTCCCAGCCACCTCCTGCGATCTGCTTGCTCACAATCAAGGGACACAGGTGCAGCAGACGCTGGTTCAGCAGTGCCATCAAGGTAAGCTTTTCAAACGTGAGCAGGTGCACCAAGGGGACTTTTGGAATGGTGAACACGGAGACAGAGGCTGAGCTGCACATCACCTTTTTGCTCTGAGCAAGACAAGAGGGTTTAGCAAATTAGTTACACATCGGGGGAAAATGTTGGCACTGAGAATGAGACCCAGCCATATGTAAACACCTGTTTTGAATCAAAAATCTTAGAGCAGGAAGAGATTGTGCGCTTTCCAACAGCTTAGGTTCTTTCTTCTACAATCAACCAGACTGGTTGTGTGATATCTCTCAAGTTACACAGTGGTGATGGTGGGTCGGGGTGGTGAGGGAGGAGATGGTGAGGAATTAGGTGGAAGGCCCAGACCCCAGGATTTCTATTTTCTGAAGTCTAAATGCTGTGATCTTTTCACCAATCAACATTTGCTCTGTTAATTGCAAGTCATTCTCAGGTACCTGAAATTCCATCCCCATGTCACACCACCGGTAAATGTAGCACAACTGTATTTACTGCATGGACTATTTAAACTTGGCCGCAGAGTTTAAAACCTTTTTTCTCTGACAATATCCCCTAAATATGGCTCTCTTCTCTTCAGCTCTCTTGAATCCCAAATGCATCTATGGAATAGAAGTAAAACTATTTTACAAGTTGAAAAACTTATACAGGCTTTTGCATGCAAATCAAAAATTATTACAAACTTGAAACTTGTACATCCAGAGGGACAAACTAAAATGATTAATGATCTTTGAGGTATCAAAAGCTTTAAAATGTAGGTAGATTATTTCTAGCTTTCAGAATAACTGCACAGTGTTGCATGCACAAAAAAATCGGCAGAGATAAGGGAACAGTATTTATTTTCTTGTGTTCCTCTGGGCCTCACTTTAGTATTATATAGTTCAAAGTTCAGATAAGGACATCCTGGGAAGTGGCCTATGCAGCAAAAGAAATTCTGTACGCTCTGACCTTTGCAGTGTACAGGCTAATGCCACCAATGCCAAGTAAAAGGAGACCTACCCAGACACAGTAAGTCTTGGTTCCTTCCTGCCTGACTCTGTAACATCCAGACAGATCCCATAACTCTGCTATAGGTGTCTGGATTATAATTATGCCTGTTTGCTAGGCACAATCATTTAAATGCACTGTGTATAATTGCCTGACTTCATTTAATTTGTCAGGGTTTTCATGGCACCAAGGTCTTCAAAGTGCGTGCTGAGGTGCTGTCCTAGCGAGACTGGGGTGTGTTGGCCTAGGAATAACCGAATAGACAGGCTGACTCACAGCCACCCCTGGATAATTTGGCTAGTCAGTACTTTCTTGGCGAATACAAAACAGTAACTTAAAATACTGATACTAATAATATAATTATCAGATATGAGAATTAACTAATTAAATGACTAGAAAGTTTAAAAGTAGAGAGATTTCTAGCATAAGTGGAGAAGCACAGATGGTGAAGTTGAATACCTTTGGAGAAGGATGGTTATGTTTTTAGGGTATAGTGAAAGTGCTGGAATCATAGCCCTGAAGCCCAGGATCATGGAACCAGATGCGGGAATTATCCTCAAGCCGACAGGTTGTGTTAAAATCTCAAGAGGCAAAGGGATTACTTTAATATTTAACTTTACACATTTTCTTTCCCTAGAATTAAATATCTCCATAGCAGGGCAACAGGTTAGCAATGTATAATTAAAGTAACCAATTAATTGGCTGGTTAACAAGTTAAGAATTAAAGACTATCTCTGATCTTTAACTTTTGACCTTGTCCCTTCCCCTGAGGTTAAAGCTCAGGAATAAATAATTATTGCCAGGGCTAGCCACACGAGGAGGCAAAATAGTTAGTCACTGACATCATGCGAGGGGTGCCGAGAGGGCCCCTTGCCTAAAAATATCTCCCTGACATCAACCCTGTTTGCCTACTAACTTTAAAATTATAGTAAAGAATGTTAAAACTATTATCTGTTAATCCCATTCTCTTTTGCTTGAGTCAGTGATTTAAATATACCTGCTATCTGCCTACTCATGACCTTGTTGGCTAGCAACACTTGGTCACCACCTCTGTCCTATTTTGCCCTCGGTACCATTTAAGCTGCCCACATGCCCTTGGCCACTGCCACACAGGTAGCTCTGTGTGGCACTGTGGTTTCTACAGAGTCTCTCAATAAAACATCAAGGTCAAGTAGAAAAAAGAAAAGCATGTGATGAGAGCCTCAAACTCTTTTTCCATTCAGTTAAGTCTACATTAACTTAATAAAATGGAAAATATTTCTTTTTCCTCCTTAAAAAAAATTATCGTACATCTGACATCATTACACTTTTCTCCGAAATCTGTTTCAAGTCGCTCTCACAGCTCTTTCAAAATGCTGCCTTCTTTAGGGTTCTATTCAATTTCATTCAATTCATTCCTATTCAATAAAGGTTGATTGAGGGCCGTGAGCAGTGTTAGCTGTACTTGCTCTCTCAGTCCCTCAGAAACCATTCCTCACGCTCCTTGAGGGGCCCTCCCGCTCTCCGTTGATATTCCCATCAGAGTTCCTTTCACTGCCTAAACACACTCACTGGTCACGGCACCTCTGTTCCATTTACGCTCTTCATCAGACTCTCTCTCGCCACTCACGCTTTACAGCAACTTCCCTCAGGTTGTACAGAATCCCGCAGCCAATGGCAAAAGAGAAGCCGAGTCTCGATGGACACCTTCCTTTTTTCCTTAATGAACAAAATAATGTATGTAAACAATGCTTGGGCCTAGGAAACAAAGATGCCCTCAGATTGCCTTGTGGCATCTAAGAGGTCGTCCAGGCCTGATGCAGTACTATATGAATTCCTACGTGTTTAAGGAATAAATACTTTGTGGTGATTACAAGGGGCCAAAAAGGAGGGGAGATTAGGGAAATTCACGTTCTTAAAGGAGTGAGGTGAGTTTTTTTTTTTAATGGGATTTGCTGATGATTAAGCTGGTAGTGGTATATAAGATACCTTGGAATGAGGGAGAACTGAAAATTGAAAGGCCAGCCAAGGGCTGTGAGAGTGATGCAGTGGAAAGAAATAAAGGCCTGGACAAGGGAGGTGACCACCAGAATGACCTTCCTGATAGAGGAAAGACTAACAATTGAGTGACTCATATATTAGACACTTTCTCTACTTTATCTCATTTGATTCTCACACAAACCTATGGGTTATTAGGACCTCCATTTTATGAATGAATAAATTAGATTTCAGGATATTAAATGATTTGTGAATTATTTAATTACTTAGCTAATACATGAGAGTGTTCATTAACTTATTTTATATTGGGGGTGTCAGGTAAGGCCTCTTCATGGAGGTTAACACGTAAGCTGAAGTCTAAAGGCAAGAAGGAGCCCATGATGCAAATGAGGAGCAAGGGGAGAATTTCGGTAGCACGAACAAGTACAAAGGCGCATGCAGGAATAAGCTGCAAGGCTGGAGCTAAGTGCTCAAGGGAGAGAGGTGAGGTACAAGGGCAAGGAGGGGACACTCATGCAGGACCTCTCGGGCCAAGATAAGGATGTCAGAGATTATTCCTTGTGATGGGAATCCACTGGAGGTTTTAAGCAGGGGAGTAATAACCTAGTGTTAAAAGCTGTTAAAATCACTCTTTCTGCTGGTGAATATAAATTATGGGGCACAAGATGGGAGGAGTGAGGCTGATTATAAGGCTATTGCACCAGACCCGATGAGAGATGATGGTGCTTGGACCTGGGCAGTGGTGGCGGAGATGGAAAGAAATGGATAGAATTACCCACTGCCCTTTCAGATCTTTCTCCAAGGCCTTCCTACCTAACTGGGCAGTAGTTTTTCTTTGCGATTGGGAGCACAATATCAAGCTTCTTCTAACTCAGTGGGTTCTCAAACTTGAGTTTACAACAGAATCAGTTGGACTCAGTAGGTCTGATTCAGTAAGTTTGATTTGGTAGGGCCCAATAATTCACATTTCTAACCAGTTCCCATGGAATGCTGATGCTGTTGGTCTGGGTACCACACTTTAAGGACCACTATTCTAGCTGACTTGCTTTTGCTTGTTAACTTACTGCTTTCTGAGTGGTCCACACAGTGCCACAAACCTGCATCAAATAAAGTTTCTGACCCATGCCAGGTTCTAAATTCTCCCCTATTTCTTTAAAGAAATATCCATCCCTCAAACTCATGCATCTAGTCTTTCTACCTACTCCTATTCCGCTTAAACTGCGTCCAGTATACCCAGTAAAAAAAATCCAGTAAAATCTTAGAACAATTTAATTCTAAATTATATTTGACTGCTGTCTCCTCTAGACTGGGGAACTTTAAAACTCATATTTTGGGGACTTGATTAAGGTTCACTTTTAAAAGGATAGAATGTGTTGCCTTTTCAGATAGAAAGCAAGACTTTAGACAGGGGCATAGAAACTGGAGGAGGAAATGTCACCCAGATAACCATACTCTGTTTCAGGCATAGAATTGTCAGCTTTTTCACAGTGAAGAGTTTCTATAATCTACGTGCTTTGATTTAGTCAGTGTTTCATTTTAAATCTCAAAATTCACATTGTGGTGCAGATTTTTAACCCTAAAAATCTTCCCTTTTTACATTTGTATTCCCTGAAATGCAAAGCCATGAGACCTGGATACTCTTCTTGTTTCCTCTGTTCAGATGGGGCATAGTATGGAATGTGGTCCAGAGGACAAAAAAAAATCATCATAGAAATGGAAGTGCTTCCTAATGAAGAGCATCCGGCTCCCCTACCATCTGGAAAGATGATACATGTAGACACCTTTCTGTGCCACAACTGGGGGAGGAGAGGCTCTCCCCAGATAGACACAAGCCCTGGGATTACATTCTCCCCAAGTCATAGGGATGGACCGCATATGTCTCTCTGGGTCTCTGAGGAACACAGTGTGATAGAGCAAAGAGTACAGAATTTGAAGCCAAACAAACTTAGGCCTCTTTGTGCCTCAGTATCCTTGTCTGTAAACTGGAAATGGTAATACCCAACTCCTATGGTTATTGGGAGGATTAAATGAGATATTATGTAAAAGCACATGTTAAGCTCTAATATCTTATTCTTCTTCCTCCATGACATCCAAAATGTGGAGAAACCACCCAACCTAGGAAAGTCAGACAAACCCCATGGAGGATAAGGATCCAGTCACTACACTGGAACAGAAATAGGAGAACAGGGCATCTTATGTCACAAGATAATGAATGATATATCTAATTTGGTTAATTTGGGGCAACACCAGTTGGCTCCAACCTAAAGTGATCAATCACCTGTCCAAGTTTGCCTGTGACTAAGAGGTCTCCTGGAACCTGGGACTTTCAGTGCTAAAACCGGGGAGTCCCCGGCAAACCAGGACTATTGGTCATCCTGCTTACCCAGCAATAATTAGACTATCAAGAATTTTGGATTGTCCTTTATTTCAGTGGGAATGATTTTCCCCAATATACAACAAAAGGTTCAGATGTGATTTTTTTATGCCCTTAGGCTACATTTATCTTTCTCCTTCCTTCTACTGTCAAACTCCTCCAAAGAGTGGTCGCTGCTCACTGTGTCTTTCTGCTCAGCACATGTCCTCCCCCAAAGTCACTCATCTGGTATTGCTCCAGAGCCTGGCAGAAGGTCTTTAAATAGCAGCATTAAAAAAAACAACAGCATCTTTGTTGCCTGCATGCTTTGTTTTTCTTTTCTCTTAAAGGGATATTTTCAAATAACTTCAAAGAGATGATGAGCAATAAGGCTCCACCACAAATGTTTCCAGCTTCAATAACAGTGTTCCTAAGAACCACACTTTATAATGCTGAAGGATAAGAAATGATTGGGTGTAGAGGTCATCACCACTGTCCCTCCAGCCAGACACATCCATGGTGCTAGGGCAGAGTTCTTGCTACACACATGGAGCACACACAACTAGCCAGGCCGGCTTTTCCCTTTCCAGGCACGGGGCTAAACTTTATCTCAGTGGGAACAATTTCCCCCAGAACCAGGCTGGCACATGTGAAGTTAGACATTCCTGGTACTGGTAGCTTTTTTCACGTAGCCTTGTTACATTTGTGATCTCCCTCTTCTTTCCCTCCTAAAAGCCAGCAGGGGACTCGGAGTCATCCAGACTCCATCTTTATTGATGAATGTCTTTTATGAATAGAAAGCAGATGGTCACATTCTCCCAGCCAGGGCACAGGCCCTGCCAACATTGGAGTGTGTGCTTAATAACTTCCACTTCCCCTCCAAGCAAACACCACATTTTAAATGACCAAGGGTCTCCCTGCACAGCTGAAATGCCACGTTTGCTCTGGCAAGAGCTCTTTGGGGAACTTCCACGAGCAGTGGCCTTGTCATCATTGTTCTTAACCTCACACAGCATTTGAGGCTATCGCTCACCCTTTCCTTTACGTGTGGGCAACATGGTCCTGACTTTCTTAGCTTTCTGGTTTCTGCTTCTCTGGCTCTACTTCTTCCTAATGTCCTCAAAGTGGAAATTCTCAGCTGTGCACTTCATGGCTCAGATTTCTATTCTGTGTTCTCTCCTCCCGCGTTACAGCTTCCTCTCTCACTTTTAAGTGGATAATTCTCAAGTCTGTGTCTCTATATTCTAACCCCTCATATTCCCATCTACATGATCTATCATCACCTCAAGCAACTTGTGTTACATTTGCTGGATCTATATTTCCTCCCAAAACAGTTCCCTCCTCAGACCTCTATTTTTCTCAGAATTACACCCAATATTATCTCTTCTTGGTTCAAAATCTTGGAATCACATTTCACTCTTCTTTTTCCCACATCTCCAGCCAGGATCAAAAATGTTAGTTGATTTTCCCTTGTAACGTCTTCTATCTTTCTCATCTTGCCTATGTCTACTGTCATCAGTCTTACCCATCCAAGCCTCCATCGCATTATCTACGTAGCATTTTCTAACTCGACATCTTCCCACTCCATCCCTCCACCTCTACTAGTTAACAGCCAATTACAATGTTAAATTGCTCCTTATTGAGTGCCAAATAACTCCAGATGCTTGAGCCTAATATTTATGAATTTCCAAAATAAATCCACAATGGACATTTTTCCCCCAGGAGTGATGTGGAATATGGCAGAAGCCTACCTGAATGTTAAATTGTATGTTAAAAGATCCAGTAGCTGGACTCTTGCATCCAAAAGATGTGCTCCTTGCCTGATCCTATTCTGCTCCCTCTCAATCCAACCCTCAGAGCCTTTCCACTCTGCTCAGCACCCTGTCTGGCTTTAACACCTTGGTTTATCTTCTGCTGGGCCCTGAACCTGTTGATGTTCTGGCTTGCAGCTTCTCACCTGACTCCTGATTCAGGCTGACTATTAGGCATATAGAGCGCTTGGCATGAACCATCTTTCACACTCACTAATCCCAGTGGATAAGAATATGATGGGGAATGTGTTAAGAATATAAATTCTGGGACACACCCCTCACTCAGGTTAGGGGTGGAGCCAGCATTCGTAGCAGTGTTGTCCAATAGAACTTTCCATAAAGTTGGAAATGTTCTATTCTGTGTTGTCCAATAGAGTAGCTAATAACCATATATGGTTACTGAGCACTTGAAATGTAGTTAGTATGACTGAGGAACTGAATTATTAATTTTATTTCATTTTGATTAATTTAAATTTAACTAGCCACATGTGGCCAGTGGCTCCCATATTGAACAGTGCATATCTATAGATTTAACAAGCATCACAGCTGAATCTAATGAACAATAGTGTTTAAGGACCACTTTAACAAGCAGCCAGGTGACCCTTATGCTCGCTTCCTGGCAGGTAATCAACAAATGTTTGTTGAAGGAATGGATGAACAAATGAATACATGAATGAACTAGAATACAATTTCCTTGAGATTTAAGGCTTTCTCTTCTGAAAAAGAAAAGTTGAGAGGGCTTTTCCAGATTAAAAGAGGCTAAAAAGACTTACCAACCAACTGTAATAAATTGACCTTAAAGGGATCCTGGTTCAAAAACTAAAAATAAAATAAAATAAAAGTATAGAAGATATTTTTGGGACAATTGGGGAAATTTGAATATAGACAGCATGTTACATGATATTAGAAAATTATTTTTAGTTTTCTGAGGTAAGATAATGTTATTGTAGGTAAAAAGGAAAATGTCTTTATTCTTAGGAAATATATGATGAAGTACTTAGGGATGAGATGTCATGATATCAGCAACTTATTTTCAAGTGGCTTAGTCGGAACTGTGTGTGCATATGTGTGTGTATTGAGAGAGAAAGCAAAAGTGAAAAAATGTTAATTGTTGAATCTAGGTAGAGTATATTTGGGTGCTCATTGTATATATTCCTTCACCTTTTCCGTATATTTGAAATAAAAAAAAAAAAGTTGGGGGAAAATTCACTCACAGTGAATTGGTAAATCCTAAAGTAAAATAAAATAAAATTTAAAAATACTACATCTTCTGACTTTTGGGTGCTAACCCCAACCCCACCCCACCCCATCCCACCCCAGACTAACACAGTGCTGAAATTATGCTACAAATTCTCCAGACCAGGTATTGCAAATGGGCAACTATAGATCCTGTCTAGCCTGCATACATGTTTTCCTTGGCCCAAATAGAGGTTTTCTTAAAAAATTAGATTAATTCCCAATATTTAAAATTCCAAGGATTTTTATCTTGATGTATTATATAAAAAAATATGTTGCATTACAATGAACTATAAAACACCTGTTTGATAATAGCAACCATGTATAGATCACTTCCTACAAGACAAGTACTGTTCTAAGAGTTTCAGATATATTTAACTCATTTCCTCCTCACAACAACATGATGAGATAGGGACTACTCTCGTCCTCCTGCACAGATGGTGAAACTGATGAACAAAAAGGTTAAGGAACTTTCCCAAAGTCTCACAGCTACTGACTTGTAGTGCCAGGGTTGAATCCCATGCAGTCTGTCTTCTAACCACTGCGCTATATCACCACTCACAAAAATTCTGCATCCCCAGTTTCTCTGAAAAGTCAGAAGATCTGGCAACACATTCCCGCATGGGATCAATTGACCAGAGCTGAGGAGCTGTGTTCCCCTGAAGGTAGGGCATCTTCTCTTCTGCTTGCCAGAGTACCCACTCAGCCTGCTTCTGGGGCCTCTGAGGTTTGAGCCCTGCTGTAGCCATGGCACCGCTGAATACACCAGGGTGAATGACACATGACAGATATTTTACAGATACTTGTTGACTGCCTCAGACCAAGCTGGATATCAGGCTGACCTCTAAGTGGACATGAAGTCCCAGTGAGGGAGAAGGCTAGAAGGGTAACTCGGGCCAGATTATGGGGGAGGGTTGGGATGCCAGGATAATTGTTGGTAGACCATGAAGAAAAGTTACAGGAAGCATAAGTTACACATCCTGTGGTTGGTAAGGTGCCCGATCAGAAGGCAGTGTGGGTCAGTGAACAGAGCGTGGGGCTAGCATGGCCTGGGTTGGGACCTGATTCCATCACTTAGTAGCTGTATAACCTTGACAAGTTATTTAACTTCTGCTTCCATTTCCTCAACTATAAAATGGAGGCAAAGACACTTCCCTCCAGGGTGGTGGAGACTTCATACTCTTTGTGATGTCTCTTTGGCCCCTGTTAATGTAGATAACCAAAATACTTTTCTTACTAATCATTCATATTCATATTTTCATATTTTTCTCTAGAATTACAAAGAAAGAAGAAACTGGGAAGCTATGGTAAGTACCATATGCTTTCTGGATCTTCACCGTTCAGAGGTCCGGGTCTGGCTTCATTTAGCCTGTAGCCCAAGCAGCTGGCAGACTTGTCCTTATGATTTGATGATATTTATTGGCTTTTTGTCAAACCAGAGATGCTAGAGAAAAACTAGAAGAAATTGACACGGAGTAGGGGGAAAGCAGAGATCTGAGATAGATTTGTGAGCAAAGATTTTTAGTAAAACTTTAAAAATGAAAAAGCAAAACATCCAGCAATAAACTAAATGGCTGACAATTTCTTCGTTCAGCAAATATTATTGAGCACCCACAGTAGCCCAGAATCTGTGACTGGTGCTGGGACTGCAGATGTGAACAAGGCCAGACATGGCCCCATCCTCCCAGCCGGCCCCTGATGGTAGTTGGTTAAAAGAATGACAGCACACTCATTCTGGAATGGTACACTGCCATTATGAAGAAAGTTTGCAAAGAATAATTAATAAAATGGTCTAGTCTCATGTTATAATAGAAAGTTAAAAAGCAGGCTGCAAAATTGTATTCATAGTATTAACTATGTAACATAAATCACCCATATTCCACAACTCAAAAATAACAATTATCAATACTGTAGTCCATTACATTCAGCTTTGTTTTTTTCTATTCTAAACACATCTACTACGTACATAGAATAAACTATTGGAAAATAAAGAAAAGTGTTGATAGTTGCTATTTCTGGGTTGTGGGATTATGAGTGATTTTTGCTTTCTTCTCTATGATTTTCTGTATTTTCCAAGGTTCCTATAATAAGCATGTATAAACAGGAATGAGTCCATTAAAACACGGTTACAGACACGCATAGAGCTTCTCTTCCAGCAGTCATTTGTTTTCTCTTTCCCCTTGCCTTTGGTGTCTCCAGGGCAGGGCACGCAGGCCTTCACCAGGGCAGCACAGGCATTGTGAGAGATGCTTTAACCGTCACTGCCACATGCCTGTGGAGCCCAACGTCTCCTGCCTGGTGATAAATTGCCACCTGTCCTGTGGCGCTACCTTCCACATGTGCAAAGAGGCAGAACATGAGCTTCTCTGTCCCTTAGAGCAGGTTCCGTGTCTCAACTCTGAATATGGCTGCCCCCTTTCCATGTCCCGCCACAAACTGGCCAAGCACCTGCAAGTGTGCCCTGCCAGTGTGGTCTGCTGCTCTATGGAGTGGAACCGCTGGCCAAACGTGGACTCTGAAACAACCCTTCATGAGAACATCATGAAAGAGACTCCCAGTGAGGAGTGTTTGGACACAGCCCTGGCCCTCCAGGACCAGAAAGTCCTTTTCAGATCTTTGAAAATGGTAGAACTTTTCCCAGAAACTAAAGAGCCCACTGAGGAGGAACCTACTATGAATGGTGAAGCCAGCTGGGAGGAAATGGAAGGAGCAGTAGGTGGAGCAGATGCCGGGTTGGTATCAAACGGCGCTCTGTCAGCCACTAACGGAGAGATGGTGGAGCTGAGTCAAGAAGAACGAGAGACGTTAGCCAAAACCAAAGAAGGGATGGACCTGGCCAAGTTTGACAAGTGGGAAAATATGTTCAGCAAAGAGCATGCAGCCTCTGCTTTAACAAGCTCATCAGTGAGCTGTGAGAGCAAGAGCAGGAACGGCCCAGGGAAAGAACAGATGTCCAGTGGCAATAACATGGTAAAAGAGGATACTGCCAATGAGAAAGAACCACAGGAAAACCAGAAGCAGCAGAACTCTCACGGAGCCATGGAAACGACAGGGCTTGCCCCTTGGCAGGATGGTGTTCTGGAAAGACTGAAAACAGCTATGGATGCAAAGGACTATAATATGTATTTGGTGCACAACGGGAGGATGCTTATTCACTTTGGTCAGATGCCTGCTTGTACGCCTAAGGAGAGAGACTTTGTTTATGGCAAGCTAGAAGCTCAGGAAGTGAAGACTGTTTACACCTTCAAAGTTCCTGTGAGCTACTGTGGGAAGCGGGCTCGCATTGGAGACGCCATGTTGAGTTGTAGGCCAAGTGAACACAAGGCAGTAGATACTTCAGATTTGGGGATCACTGTGGAGGACCTGCCCAAATCAGATCTTGTCAAGACCACCCTCCTGTGTGCTTTGGAAAGAGAACTCAAAGGTCACGTCATCTCCGAATCCAGGAGCATTGATGGGCTGTTCATGGATTTTGCTACACAGACATACAATTTTGAGCCAGAGCAGTTTTCCTCTGGGACGGTGCTGGCTGACCTCCTAACCACTGCCAAACCAGGCGGGCTCCATGTGGAGCTCCACAGTGAGTCTGTGACCAGGAGACACAACAAGAGCAGCTCTGCCTTCACTTTCACTTGCAACAAATTCTTCAGGAGGGATGAATTCCCCCTGCATTTCAAGAATGTCCACACAGATATTCAGTCATGTCTCAATGGCTGGTTCCAGCATCGATGCCCCCTCGCCTACTTGGGATGTACATTTATTCAAAACCATTTCCGTCCCCCAGGGCAAAAGGCAAAAGTGATCTATAGTCAAGAGCTCAAGACTTTTGCTATCAAGCCGGAGGTTGCTTCAGAGCTCAGTGAGGGAAGGAAGAACAACCACCTCTCAGGCCATGGAAGAAAAAGCCAGAATTCTCTGACCAGCCTGCCCCTGGAGATTTTGCAGTACATTGCTGGGTTCTTGGACAGCATCAGCCTGTCCCAGCTCTCCCAGGTGTCCGTGCTGATGAAGAACATCTGTGCCACTTTGTTACAAGAGAGGGGGATGGTCCTCCTGCAATGGAAGAAGAAGAAGTATTCCAACGGAGGCACCTCCTGGAAAGTCCACAGAGAGGCAAGTAAACACTCATTCATTCAACAAATATTTATTAAGAGACTCCTATATGCCAAGCACTGTACTAGGCACTGAGATCTCACTAGGTTACTGGGAATAAGATGTAGTCCCTGAACTCAAGGAGGTCAGTCTAGTAGGGGAGACAGACCCATAAAAATATACATGGCAATACAGATGGTAGTGCCTGTTTATCTCTACGTATGTGTCCTGAATGTCTCTTGTTTGCTCACATGATTCATTCTCCAACCTTCTCCACTGTGATCTGTCCACCAGGAGGCTGACCTCTATGGACTGCCTCTATGGACTGACCAGCTCCCAGGCCCCCCAGCTTCCAGTTGGGCTAATCTAGTGGGAGTGTATCAGCAGGAGAGGGGAGGGAGGGCAAAGAAGGAGGCTGACATATCTATTCTTCTGGCTTCCTCCCTACATGCATTCTCCCCTCCATGACACTTTGCACTGACTTTTCCCTCCACTGAAGGTGGCTGTATCAGTATTCACACAATTACTCCTCTGTTTTCCGATGATCTCCTTTCTTCTTCACTTTCAGGCCTTGGGCTGTAACATTCTAGATTGTTACTAGCCCAGGTACTGCACTATATCTTGTGGCTTTTCTACACCCTCTTCACACATTTATATATCATTCCTTTTTAAAATTCTCTTCAAATTACCCAATTTAAGTGTGCCATCTGTTTCCTGCCTGGACTCTGATTGATATAGTATGCCACCAAATTCTCCTCAGTCACATGTCAACTAATTTTTCTAAAGCATTTTTTGTCTTTGTTAAAGGCATTTTGAAATTCTGAAATAATTTGATCCATTGATTTCCCTTGGTTCAAATTCTATTTAATTTTTCAAAAAATTCTGCTGTAGAAATCCAAGAATCTTTCCCTTTGGAAAAACCTTTTTCCTTTTTCCTAGTCAGGTTATGCTTGCTTAACTGTATTACAACTTCTATCAGCTTGTATCATACAGAAGTGAGACTCCTAATTCATCATGTCCGAGGTGCTTTTAGCATCCTGTCTCATGTAAATTTGGTAATATGAACCACAAATTTATGATGCCCATTTAGGTCAATAATTCCATAATCTCACTGTTGAGTTTCTTCCCAATATGCGGGGTATGTGCAAACTGGCATTGAGGAGTTAGAGTCGTTTGCATCTATTTTTATTGATTATGTCTAAAACATCTTGTATATTTTCCGTTATTTATCCCCTGAGCAGTTTCTTCAAAAAATAATTATGACACTCTCCCTCATGTATCCATGCCTGCACCCATGTGTTAAATAAACACTGACTGCCAACCAACCACTCGTTAGGGATAAACATGAATGAGACCAAGACTGTGCCCTCAGGAAGTGTATAGTCTAGAACTGCCTAATATCTTCCTCTGTAAAATCAGATACAAATAATTTAATTTACATTCTAGAAATTCCATTATTTTTTGGCTCACATTCATACCCAATTCAGTGATTGCTGACCACTCTTAAATATCATTTGGGACAAACTAATTTCCTTGCAGAAAGGAAGAAAGAGAATTTCATTGGAGCTAAAGGATGCTCATATTAAAATTGTTTTTTAAAGTAAAAAGGGAAATAGGTCTAAGATCCCCAGAAACACTTTTCTTACATAAGAACAATGACAAGAAACTGAAGGTGAAATGGTCAAGTTGAAAAGATATCAGATTATGCCCACCCTGATAGCCAAATTTTAAAACTAGTGACTTTGCCACCACATCCTAGGTGGAAAGGCCAGAGGGGGGCTGAGTACCAGACTCCTAGATTTCTCCTGAGGTTTCTGTTCTAGTGAGACTCTTATTAGTTAGAATTCTTTTAGTTTCAAGCAATAGAAAACCAACTTAAAATGGCATAAACAATAAAGGGAATTTATTGGCCCATATAACTAAAAAGTTCAAAGGCAATGGCTGCAGATAAGGCTTGATCTAGCAGCTCAAAATGCCCCCAAATGACTTTTTTACTTTCTATTTCTTATCTCTACTTCCTTACTAGTGGCTCCATTCTAAGACACCGTTCTCTCTTGGTAGTCCCTGGTGGCTGCCTGCAACTCCTAAGACTGCAACTTCCCAGTTCAAGTACAGAAGGAAAAAGAGAATCTGCTTCTTGACATCTCAAACAGAATTTCTGGAGTAGAGTCTCATTGACACTAATTGTCCTGATTTGAACCATATGTCTATTCTAGAATTAATTGCTGTCACTGGGGGTAGGGGGAGGGTGTGTGTCAATATGCAGATTAAGGTTAGTCATTCCCACAAAAATACATGGCTGGCTGGGAAGATTACCAATTGGAAGGGGGAACTAGGAATTGGACGCTGGAGAAGGAACTAACAAATATCTGCAGCACCACTAAACACTCTCTGGAAACTAAGAACAGGAAATACAGAAAGACATTTCCTTATACTGTTCAAATAAAGTCAGCCTGAGGGTGTGGCCCCAAAGTTCACGTCTGAGCTTCTATCTTTCCTAACAGATCTGGCAATTCAGCAGCCTCTTCTCCAAAGTCAAGAGCTGGGAGTTTAATGAAGTTGCCTCCATGTCCGAGCACCTGAAGTCCTGTCCTTTCAACGTTGTAGAGCACAAGACTGACCCGATTCTTTTGACCAGCATGTGTCAGCCCCGCGAGCAGGCCCGAGAGAGCTTAGTCACCACCTTTAGAGCCAGAGCACGAGGGAGACACGCCTACTGAAGATTCAGACGCCGCCATTCTTGGATTCCCCCTCAGAGTTTCTAAAAATAGGGCAGAGCGTGATTTTGAGGACTTCCCTCTATAAACTGCATATGTGCCTATCTGGGTGTATTGGAACATGCAATGTCCTTCAGAATCTGAGCAGCTGCACAAGGTCTAAGAATTTTGTAAGCCATGGCTTGTACGATTGCTATAGTGCCTTATTGATAACTTTTTTTTCTAAAGTAAATCAGAGGAGAAAATAAGTAACTTGAGGCTACTTGGAAGATAGGCTCAAGTCCTTAGGAGATGAGAGAGCAGTGAAATTCCATAACCAGCACAGGCCTGTGCTTTTGTGGAGAGCTTTTCAGTTTATAAGCACTTTCAAATTTATAAGGTAGGCAGTGCAGGGATGGGGACTGAGGTGCCTCCCAGGGCACCCAGGGTGAAGGGCACACAGTTTGACAGTTCTGGAGCTGAGGTTGTCTTGACAGTCAAGTCCAAGGCTTCCTTTAGTGGCCCCACTGCCTCTGAGCCTAGACAGTCCAAACACAGCCCGACAGAATAGTGACCTTGGCTGCACACAGCAGCCTCAAGGACACTGCAAGCCAAAGGATGAGAGGCAGAAATGAGGTCACAGAGTTTGTTGTGTAGACTCTTGGCAACATACAGAAGGACGGCCTTGAAAAATGAAGAGTCCAAAGGAGACCCTATATTTATGCAGAAAATTAGGACGAAAATCTGCAACCCTACTTTTAAACATTTTAATAATGACTTAAGTGTCAAGGTCCTTTTCTGAAAATTATATTATAGGTCTAGATTAGGGAGAGCATAGGCATAACCCAGCACCACCTTGGGCTATCTGAAATGACCTCAAGACACTAACACCAACTTCAGTGTCATGCTGGAATGCACAGGGTAGCCCAAGGAGACCACACATTTGGCAAAGTCCAGGCAAGGCCCACTGTAGTTCCTGTGGCACCAGTCACCACCTCCTGGACACCAGTTGAGTGCCCCACGGGGGATCTTGGGAAGGAAGACATGTGAACATAGTGGTTTCCTGTACTTTCTCCTACTTATTGCTGGTCACTACTCCAGTCTGTCAAAAATGAGGGATACTGTTTTTTGGTAACAAACAGTGAATACTCATGAGAACAAAAGTAAAATAAAAATATACAATAGAAACTGGCATCCCCTAAAGCAAGGTTTTTCAGAACTAACAACATTTTGAACTGGATAATTCTTTGTAATAAGGGACTGTCCTGTGTGTTATAGGATATTTAGCAGCATCCTTGGGCTCTATCCAAGAGATGCCAGTAGCACCCCCACAGCTGTAACAACCAAAAATGTCTCCAGACACTGCTACATACCCTCTGGGAGCAAAATCGCTCCTGGTTGAGAAGCATTGCTCTAAAGGATGACATACCAGTGGCAGCATGTTAGGATAAGCTTTTTAGTAGCAAAATCTTATCTCACAGAGTTATCTACAATGGGTATGATTTCATGCAGCTCTTCTTTAGTTACTAAGTAGGTTTTAGACACATGGTGAGTTTAAGTTGGGAACCAGATGGAGCTCATTTGTTTGATGTGGCTTCATGTCCTTGGGTCGCATGCAAAAATACATCCTTTCGGCCCTCTCCAAGTGTAGCTGGAGCCAGGAAAGTTGAGCTACTTGTCTTGCGTTTATCTCCCTATCATCTTAAGTGGTGCCATTTTCCCGGCAGTCCCCAAGCAGGTGAGAAAGAAGGGAAAAGGAGGACAGGCATTGTGGGGAAGCAGAGAACAAAGCATTTAGCCAACAAAAAAAAGAGTCTAGTCAATCTGGATGCTTGTTATTGCCTGGGTCTCTCTGAGCACGGTCCAGAGCTGGTGTAGATGAAGTAGACGACACCTCTGAGAAGAGTCGAGAAGGCGTTAGAGCAAGTCCCAGAGTAGAAATTTGCTCATCTTTTCCTTATTACGTGCCGCTTGGTAGTATTTGGTAATGTGACTCTATTTTTCCTTATCCTTATTGTTTGGTTTATATTTCACATTTGTACATAAGGCACTGTTTTCTAAAAATATAACCAGAGTATGAGCTAAGATTATATTCAGTGAAGATGAGCAACTGGAAACTTCTAGACACTGAAGTGGGGCGAGAGGAAGAGTTCTCAGGGGAAGAGGTGTCAGTTCCACGTGTTTTGATCTAGTCCTTTCTGTGTGGAGAAAGAAAGCCCCTAAAGTCCACTCTGGGTTTCTTATTTTACTAGAAAAAGAGAGAAAAGGGAGCTAGAGACCAAGGAAGATGAAAATCAGGGGCTACTGTTAGATGGGTGAGAAAGACAGAGAAAGGCAGAGAGCAGAGGGCTTTTCCTTCACAGTGGGGGCAGCACAGGTGCGGGAGAGCAGTCAGGAGAGGGCCCACACCTCTCTGTGGGCTGCACACATCCAGTCACACTTCCCTTTCCCAGTTGCTGCCTTCAGAGCAATATTGAATTGATCAACATCATCAAACACATTTGATAAGATATCAAATTGTACACGTTGCAGGAAACCAGGCTACAGCAGGTGTCCACTGGTCTGCCCAAACAAATGCATTTTATGGTGACAGGGCACTGGAAGCAAAGGGAAGCCCTTTAGAGAGACTGTGGATTAGACAGAAGAGGATTTGATTAGTGAGATGAGGCTGTAGTGGGCAGCGTGAGCAGCAAGAATTATCTGACCGAGGCAAGACAGCTAGACATGGCTTCAGATTAAGAAGCAGCCGAAGGGAGTGAAAAGGGACTGGTACCCGGGAATAGGAGCCTGGATGGGGACCTGTTCCTAAGCAGAGCCCTTGATGAGTATCACCACCAGGAAAATCAGTCCAGAGAAGATCAGCTGAACAGGGAGGGTGAGGTCTGTAGAACAGAGGCTGAAAGGACCCTGTTACCTTAACAGTGTTGGGATCTAGAAAAGAAGTTTCTGTCTTATAATGAAGGGAAAAGTGAAAAGCAAGGTGGGACTTGGAGATGTAACAGGGAACTCATGTGAAAGTCTGATCTATGTGTGATGTCAAATCAAACTGAAGTGAAGAATGAGATCATGTACATCTATGGTCACTTACCTCAGTCTACTGGAAATCCCAATGTCTCTATAAGCAGAAATAAAAGCTGCTTTGCACACTGGAAGGCTAACTGGCTGACTCTTATAAGTTAGCTCTAAAGACAGATTTGTGATTCGCTGGCATAGAAGTCATTGCGGAAACAAAGGAGTGTATATCTTAAAGAAAAGCCAAGGAATGAGCCTGAGGGACGCAGTGTTCTAGGCACACGGGAAGCTCACCAATTTTATGAAGTCCTGGAGCAACTATGGATCTCAGACTCTAATCCTAGCTCTTCCTTGATCCCACTGTCTTCTCTCTTTTTGAAAGCTGGACCCAACTTCAGATACTGGTTACAGCACAGACGTCTATGTCCTACCAACCAAAGATCCCTTACACCAAATCCCTGACTTTTATTTTGATTTTATTTTATTTTGCCTAGAATCTTCTATCTCGGACTTTGCTAAGCCCAATGCCCTGGGGCTGGGATAAAACCCACCATGCCCTGGCCTCTCATTCCCCTTCATCTCCATACTTTATTTGGTGATTCTCTTTTTGCCCATCAGTGGTTGTTCAAATGTTCTCACCTCTTTTCCTATCAGCCTTGGTCCTGGACTACACAGAATCTTCATGAGCTTCCTCCATCTACCCTCTTTCTTTGCCATCAATTTCAGTCACCCAGCTAAAAGGAAGCCTGGACTTTCTCTAGGAGAAGCCACTGTCTCTGACTCCAAATCCTCTTAACACCTCGTTGGAGCCTGTGTTCCTTTAGCTTTAGTCTTTTTTTGTTGGCCAAATCTCCCTTTTCCTCCTTCCTATCCCCTAATTTGTGCTTCTTCCTCAAGAATCATCATGTCCTAAAAAGATGTACTCCCAGGCAGAAGGAGCCTCTCACAATTGCAGAAGCCAGTAGAAGTTGAAATGCCTTAATGTGGACACTTTCTGGGCCCCTGTTCCCCTACCTTACTGCCATTCCCCAGGTCAATTTGTTTTGGACTGGGTTTAAGTACAGTCTAAGGAAAAGGCCCAGCTCTTGACATCCAGGGTGCAGGATGATGGACAGTGGTAGGAGGGAAACTTCTGGATACGCCTGAAAAAGGGAAGGAGAATTGAACCCATGACAGTCAGAGCCATTGAGGGCTGCATAAAAAGTACTATTTACCACAGCATAGAAGTGAACCATTGTCCCACTTTATTTCCAATTTGGAACTGAGCAGAGAGAAGATTCAGAGATATCTCTGCAGAGAAGGAAAGTGGGCAAACAGCACAACCAGGCAAACCAGGCAATCTAGACATACCTTCCCAGGTAAGCAAACCAGGAAGCTCAGAGTTCACAAACAAAGGAAGGCAGAGCTTGGGCTGTTAGGGGGGGCATTCATGAGGAAGGAGGCAGGAACACAAGATAAACGTCCATGAGCTCATCCAGGGCAGAGAGGACACTGAGGGGAAGTAGACTCCCCCTCCTCATGCTGTCCCTGCCCCAAGCCCTAATGGAGAGGGAGAGGAAAGTCTGTCTAGAATCTCATGACATCTTGTTAGACACTTGCAGCAGAAATGGGGAGGGGATGGAGGCAGAGCCACTTTGGACATGGGAGGTCACAGTGCAGAAGACAGGGAGAGACTAGAGGAGCTTGACATAATTTGCAGGGAAGAGTCCAAAGTGTCCGCGGCAACGTCCCCGCCACCAGCCCTCATCCACCATCTCAATGTCAGTGATGATGTCATCTGGATCAAAGGAAATCTCGTCACTTCCCTCTAGGGAGGAAATTGACAGTATATTAGGATGGTCAGATAGGAATCCCTCTGACCCTGTGCCGACTGTAAACCTCAGGGAGGGAAATAGGCCTGTTCTTCTTGACACCAAGCCTGGGACCTTCCTGACCCCCAGAATTCATCCTCCTCTCTTGTACTACGGGCCGCCAGGCACCAGATCCCTCAGGCCACTCCCAACCTACCTCCTTGGTAATCATACAGGGCTACAGCTGAGATCCCAGCCCCAGCCCCTGCCGGGCAGCCTGATGATCCTGCAATATGAGAAATATAAACATGATCTCACCAATGTGGAAAAGGAAAACCCAGGTCCTTCTGAGTGATGAGGGAATTGTTCTTCCTCTTACTCTTCTCTAGATCTGACCGAATTCAGAAGCTGCTTCTCCCCCCACCACTCACCAGCCACAGTGGACTGAAAAGAGGGATCGTCAGGCTCAAGCACATCCTCATAGTCCCCCTCTGCTTCATCATCCTGTTCATATCTGTCCAGCTCTGCAACATCCTCATAGTCATTCTCAGGCTCGGGCTCAGGTTCAGGCTCAGGCTTGGGCTCGGGCTCGGGCTCGGGCTCTAGTTCGTACACTGGCTCTTCCTCCACCTGGAGGCCTTCCAGAGTCCTGGGGGGCAGAGCTGGGGGCTCCTCATAGTCCTGAGAAGAGACAGTATGGAGCAGCATGACTTTCACTCACCGGGAGCTGCCTCTCCAAAACCTCCAAATGGAGGACTGCTAAGACCCCACCCATCACTATCCTTCCACATCTATCCTCCATCCTTGCCTCCATCTAACAGCCTCTCCTAGGGAACACAGTCTTTCATCCACCTTCATTCCTCAACCTCCTCCCATACCCACCCACTCAAAACACCTACCAAGAGATGATAGGAGGGGAATGTAAAAGGTATGAGGAGAGGGAAGTAGAAAGCAAGTCAGATTCCTTGGAAGACCAGGAAAACACTGAAACAAAAGCACATTGTTTGGAGTATATACCACAGCTAGGATGACCAAAGGTCTAGTCTGCCCAGGACTGGGTGGGTTCCCAAAGGCAAGACCAAAACAGTCCCAGACAAACCAGGATGGTTGGTCATGCTGTATAGCCCACCTTCCTAGGACATGAGGGGACTGGGAAGGGACAGAGAATCTTTGGGGCTCTGCTTACCTCTGGGGGATTCTGCCTTGGGGGCAGAGTGGGCACTGGTTCTTCCCTACTGGTTCTTACAGGCTCAGGCTCCGACGGTGGACAGCTCCCTGCTGGAGGCCAGGCCTGTGAAGAATGAAGCATCTCTCCAGTAAGCAAGCAAACTTCCACCTTCTCTCTTACACTGACCTGGAACACCCCCTCCTATCTTTGCCAATCTAAATCAATCATCCCTCAAGATGGGCTCCAACCTCAAGCGATGGTTCCTTACTCTTGTTCCTGCAGTAATGATTGGCTGCACTGGCTGGTGACCTTTCTTCTGTTGCACTATGTAAATCTTGGTTTTTTCCTCCTAACATTCTGGTATATATGAGGCCCAATTACACAGCCAGACTGAAATCTTCCTGAAGACAGGGACAGCAGTTATAGACTTTGCCTAACACAGAGGAGACCTGTGTCTTATTTTCTACCAATGATTTGGACCCTTTAGGCTCCTGTCTGGACAAGAAATCCTGGATGTGGATCCCAGAGGGCCAAGCACTCACCTCTGAGGAGATTTTCTTGGGCACTGGGGCTGGCACCACTGGCTCTTCCACAGTGGCTGCTGGCTGCCGAACCTCCTGGCTCATCTTTACCAGGGCCTTTCTCTCCTGTTGCTGCCTGGCCATCTGCTGTGCCTTCTCTTCTTCCTCCCGCTTCCTCTTCTCCTCAGCCATGGACTCAAATTTTGCCTTCAGCCCACGGGCACCACTAGAAGCTGCAGACACAGGCAAGAAGAATTAGGGTTGTCTTGGGTCAGGGTGGGAGTGGGGAGGTGGCACTTGAAGGAAGCAGAGGAATCAGTTAAATATCGGGGGGAGAACAGATAGAAAGAGACTCACGGAAGGGAAGGTAAAGAGGTATGGATGGAGAAACAAGGAAATTATAGGAGGATGGTGTAGCCCTCATGCCTAGATTTCCATATAGCCAGGCCATGCAATCTCAGACTCTTGTCCTTTCTAAATTATAAGCCTTGGGCCCCTAACCCACATCCTTCCCTGTTCATATTCCTTAAATCTGTATGCCCCCTGGACCACCACCCACCATCTACCCCCCATCCCAAGCTCCTATCCATATGTATTCCCCCTGGTGGCTCTCCACCCCTCCCTCTCTGTGTTCTCTGCTCACAGTTCCTTCCTCAATGTCACTCTTTCCTTCTATACACTTAACCTGGTTTTTCTAGGAGAGAGAATCTGGGAATATGAGGGTAGGGATCAAGTCTACCTCAGCTAATCTAGGTGGTTGAAGGCATGGAGGAGGTAGTCTAGTAAGAAGAAAGAATGAGAAAGGAGAGGTGGTTGAGGAGCATAGAGAGAGGGAATGGTTAAGACTCACCAGCCTCTATGGGTGTCGTCTTCTTATAAGCTGTGGTTGGGGCCTCCATTTCATTGAAGCCAACAGCGCTCTGCAGGTAGGAAAACAGTATGTGTAATGTGCGGGGGGAGGGGGCAGGGAGTGGTAATGACCCAGAAGGCAGTATTGAGGATTGGGGCCACTGCAGAAGGTATGCTTGACCATCTGATGCTCAGTAGTTAGACAGGATATTACAATATTGTTGTTTTGTAGCAGAGAGGGGGTAAAGAAGTTCTAAACTGGTGGGCTCAGCTCCCCTTTTTGAAAGCTCAGGTATACCTAACATCTCACATCTCCAAGTCCAGTTGCCTGGAACACAGCAGGGACCCTGGCCAATGCATGCAGAGGAACTGGTGTAGGGGAGGACAGTAAATGGAGTGGGAAGAGATTATAGATTTGGTTAAGCAATGCCAAGTAATCTATGAAATTTCAAACTTCACCTTTCCCTGGAGTTTATCTGTCTCTCTCTGCCTCCCTCCACTCTCCTTAGTTAAAGCTCAGGCTTTGGAAGACATGCCCATTAGATGCTGAGGGCAGTCAGTGAGGAGTGCTCAGGGCACCTAGCTTTTCCGATCCTTTTTCCATTTTCGCCTCTCATTCTTCTCTGTGCACTCCAGGTGCAGTTTAGGGAACTCTTCTCAAGACATTGGTGTTCTGTTGCTTTACCTTATCCACTCGGTCCTTCTGGATTCCATACTGACCACCAAAGCCCTTCGCATAATCTGCAGGATGAAAAGGTCTGAGAGTCATAAGACGAGTTAAAATGCTGGAAATATGTGGGAAGAGGGAGCAGTGGGAAGAAAGACTAGAAGACAGGAATGTGGAAAACAGAGAGATGAATGAGGAAGTGTGAGAATCAGAGGATAGAGAGAGGAATGGATGGGAAGAGATGGAAAAGGATGGGGAGAAAAAATGTTGGGAGAGAATGGAGGGGAGAGAGATGGGAAGAGGGAAACATAAAAACAGAGAAGTGACAGAAAAGGGAGAAACATAAAGGAAGAAACAGGAAAAAATAAGGAGAACCCTCCAGCTATCCCCTATGTGTCTCAGGGAAGAAGGAGGTCTCTCTGTCCTCTGTGGGGCAGAGGGGCCTCTAAGACTCATAGCCAAATCACACTCTTGCCATCACCCAGACTGTCTGTCTTCATCCCTTTCTCAATGATCCCTTCTCTTTGGCCTCCCTCCTCTGTCTTGCTCCTAATCTTGCTGTTTTCCTCTCTGCCCATCTTGGTCTCCCCCCACTCATCCCCACATCCATACACTTACTCTTCACCACCCCCGCTCGACCTCCGCTGCATATCTGGGTCTTCTGTGTCAGCTTCCAGAAAGGAAGGAAGGATGGCTCTGTGCGACTCTATGACCTCCCTCCTCTCTAACCCCAACTCACCTGTCTGGGACTCGTGCTTCTCTGTCTCTCCCTTGTAGTCATATCCCAGAGCTGCCTTGTCTCGTTTATCCTTCTCTATCCCATAACGGCCACCAAAGCCATGAGAGTAATCTACGGTGGAAAGAACAGTCATGAGAGCCCACTCTCACCCTCAGGAAAGTGCTGTGAAAGAGAGGAGTCAGCAGGAACCAGTGCAGGGTGATAGGGGCCTGGGAAGACAACAGGGCTCGAATATAGGTGTATTAAAGAGAAATGGTGTTCTAAGCCATTTTTGCAAGCTTTAATTCAACATCGCTCATTCTTTTCCTCTTTTCCTTTCCTCTCTTACTTCCATCCCAAGATGAGAAGATCATTTCAAGGGGAAAGCATAGAGAGTATAAGGAGAGACTTCCAGAAAAAAAAGGGCAAATATGAATGAAATGTATGCCTTTCCCTACTCCTGTATAAAAACTTAGATGTCAGCTAAAATATAACAATCATTTTTTTTTAATAGTGAAGCTCAAAAGAAAAGAAGTAAAGAAAATTCCTGGCTCCAAAAACAAATAGATGAATCAAAGCAGTAGATATGAAGATAATTATGAGCTGACACCAAAGAAAACCCAAGGGTATTTTAAGTCACAAATTTAGTGCCTAGGGATTAGGATTTGGGGTCTGGGGTTCTAATTTCTATACAAGCCTGGGGAGCAGGAAACGAAGCTCTGCCCACGCCTATAAAAGAGTTCTAGAAAAATTCGCTTGTCCAGAGAAATGGTAAGGAGGCTTGTAATTTGTTCAACATTTGGTAGGGGTAAAATTTACCTATGAGATTTGGAAACTACAGGCCTACACCCAAGTGTGTAGAATACAAATACCCAATTTTATACTACTTATATTATACAGGAATTCTAAACTGAGAAATTAATTTAATACTGATCTAGGAAAATAGATACCACAGAAAAAGTAAACATCAGAAAGATGGCAAGAATATGAGACAAAGTAGACCTCAAGACAAAATGCATTCTAAGAGACAAGAGAGACATAACACAGCAATAAGAAAACAATTCTTTCATCAGGGACATGTATGCTGGGTATAAACCTATTAACAGAATCAAAATTCATGAAGCAAAAACTGATGGAAGCAGAAAGAGAAATAGACGAATTCATGATCATAGTTGAAAATTTTAACATCTTTCTCTCATTAATTGATAGAAAATTTAGACAAAAGAATCTAAAATTACACAGGGCCCAAAACACATTATTAACTAACAAACCTAAGTGACATCTACAGAACATTACACCCCAACTGCAGAATACACATTTTAATGCAAATAGGACATTCACCAAGATAGTCCATATACTGGTCCATACAATAAGTTTCAATACATTTCAAAAGATTGAAATATTCTCTGATCGTTATAGAATTAAATTAGAACTTAATAACAATAAAATTATCTAGAAAATTTCCCCAACACTGGGAAAATAATTAACACACTTCAAAATAACCCATGGGCCAAAGAAGAAATCATAAGAGAAATTAGAAAATATTTTAAACTGAATAAAACTTAAAACACACATATGCCATTGTGGAATGCAGCAAAAGCAGTGTTTAGAGGGAAATATATAGTTTTAAGCACCTACATAGATGATAAAGGCTTAAGATCAATTATCTAAGTTTCTACCTTTAGTAGCTAGAAAAAGAACAAACTAAACTCACGTTAAAATGAAGGAAAAAATAATAAAGATAAGAACAGAAATCAATAAAATTTAAAGAACAAGTCAACAATAGAGAAAATGAACAAAGTCAAAAGTTAGTTCTTTGAAAATAATAATAAAATTGATAAACTAGCAAGAATAATCAATTAAAAAGAGAAAAAACACATATTAACAATATCAGAAATGACAGTGAGTATATCACTACAGATCTTACAAAGGTTAAAAAGAAAATAAGGGAATACTACAAGTGAATTTATGCTAATAAACTTGACAACATAGAAAAAATGGAAAAATTCCTTGAAAACACAGCATACCATAACTGACTTAAGAAAAAATTGAAAGACTGAATAGATGTATCTATTTAAGAAATTGATTTCATAATGGAAAAAAAATAAATTAAAAATGGTTCATTACTATTAAGACCCCTAAAACTCAGCTAGAAGTAAAGGTAAAATTTCTCTTTGTGGGAAACTTACTCAACCCAGTGCACATGAAACTCCCATAAAACAAATAACCCTCTCCCCCACTGAAATAAGTTCACAAACAAAAATTACAACCATAAAAGAAATAAATAACCATGACGGAAAGCAGATTAATCAGAAGAATTAGCACCCCCAAACTTCAAATAATATAACCATATAAAAGAAACTATAAAATAATTTTTTTTTTTTTTTGCTGAGGAAGATTCACCTTGAACTAACATCTGTTGCCAATCTTCCTCTTTTTGCTTGAGGAAGATTTGCCCTGAGCTAACATCTGTTGCCAACCTTCCTCTATTTTGTATGTGGGCTGCTGCCACAGCATGGCCACCAATAAGTGGTGTAGATCCATGCCTAGGAACTGAACCCAGGCCACTGAAGCAGAGCGTGCCAAACTTAGCCACTATGCCACCAGGGCTGGCCCAAAATAAATATTTTTAAAATAATTAAAGAGCTTAAAGAAAGGGGAAAAACATAATGAAAGCATCAGGACATTATAAAAAAAGAATCAGCAGATTTGCAACAGAACCAAAGGGAACTTCCAGTAATAAAAATATCTGAAAGAAAGTTAAAAATTTAATGGACAGCTTAAACAATAATTAAACATAGCTGAAAGGAGAATTACTGAACTTAACATAGATCCAAGTGAGTTACCCAGAATGTAGCACAGGGAGATAAAGAGATGGAAATAGAGAAGAAAAATTAAGAGACATCAAGAACACAACTTCTCAAAATGTGGGTGATGCAGTGAAAGCAGTGTTTAGGGGGAAATTTATAGCATTGAATGCATATATTAGAAAAGAAGAAAAAAAGGAAATTAATCAAATCAAAAGTAAGAAGCAATAGTCTAAATTTCCACTTTAGGAAACAGAAAAAGAATAGCAAATTGAACCCAAAGTAAGCAGAAGAAAAGAAATAAGAATTAAAGCAAAAATCAAAGAAATTGAAAGAGAAAATCAATAGAGAAAATAAATGAAACCAAAAGCTAGTTCTTTGAAAAGATCAATAAAATTGATAATCCTCTAGCCAGGCTAAGTAAGTAAAAAAGAGAGAGCACAAATTACTAATATCATAAATGAAAGATGGGACATCACTACAGATCTCATGGAAATTAAAAGGATAATAAAAGAATACTATGAACAACGCTGTTGTCACAAATTTGATAACCCGGATGAAATGGACTAATTCCTTGAAAGACACAATCTGCCAAAACTCACACAAGAAGAAATAGATGATCTGAATAGGTCTATATCTATTAAAGAAATTGAATCAATAATTAATAATCTTCCAAAATAGAAAGCACCAGGCCCAGATGGATTCACTGGAGAATTCCACCAAACACTTAAGGAAGAAATTATATCAATTCTCTATAATCTCTTTCAGAGGATAAAAGCAGAGGGAATATTTCCTAACTCATTCTAGGAGGCCAGCAGTACTCTAAAACCAAAACCAGACAAAGACATTATCAGAAAAGAAAATCACAGAAAAATATCTCTCATAAACATAGACTCAAAAATCCTCAACAAAATATTAGTAAATTGAATCCAACAATGTATAAAAAGAATTATACACCAGGACCAAGTAGGATTTATCCAAAGTATGCAAGGCTGGTTCAACATTTGAAAATCAATTAATGTAATCCATCACATCAACAGGCTAAAAAAGAAAAATCACATGATCATATCAATAGATGCAGAAAAAACATTTGACAAAATCCAACACCTATTCATGATAAAAACTCTCAGTAAACTAGGAATGGAAAGAAACATTCCCAACTTCATAAAAACTATCTACAAAAACCCTACAGCTAACATCATACTTAATGATGAGAAACTTGACGCTCTCCCACTAAGATCAGGCAAGGATGTCCTCTCTTGTCACTCCTCTTCAACATCTCTACAAGTCCTTGCTAATGCAATAAGGCAACAAAAGGAAATAAAATGTATACAGACTTGGAAGGAAGATATAAAACTGTCTTTGCTTGCAGATGACATGATTATGTGTATAGAAAATCTGAAAGAATTGACAAACTCCTGAAACTAATACGCAATTATACAAGGTTGCAGGATACAAGGTTAATATACAAAAGTCAATTGCTTTCTTATACACCAGTAATGAGCAAGTGGAATTTGAAATTAAAAATACAGTACCATGGGCCATCCCCGTGGCTTAGCGGTTAAGTGTGCGCACTCTGCTACTGGCGGCCCGGGTTCGGATCCTGGGCTCACACCGACACACCGCTTCTCTGGCCATGCTGAGGCCGCATCCCACATACAGCAACTAGAAGGATGTGCAACTATGACATACAACTATCTACTGGGGCTTTGGGGGAAAAAAAAAGGGAGGAGGATTGGCAATAGATGTTAGCTCAGAGCCGGTCTTCCTCAGCAAAAAGAGGAGGATTAGCACAGATGTTAGCTCAGGGCTGATCTTCCTCATTAAAAAAAAAAAAAAATACAGTACCATTTACATTAGCATCCCTGACAAAGAAATACTTTGGTATAAATCTAATGAAATATGTACAAAATCTATATGAGCAAAACTAAAAAACTCTGATGAACAAAATTAAAGAAAAACTAAATAAATAAAGAGATATTCCATGTTCATGGATAGGAAGACTCAATATTGTCAACATACCAGTTCTTCCCAACCTTATCCATAGACTCAATGCAATCCCAACCAAATTCTCAGCAAGTTATTTTTTGGAAATTGACAAGCTGATTCTTAAGTTTATATGGAGAGGCAAAAGACCCAGAATAACCAACACAATATTGAAGGAGTAGCCAATGCGAAGTCAGAAGACTGATGCTACCCAACTTCAAGACCTGCTATTAAGCTACAGTAATCAAAACAATGTGGTATAGGTGGAAGAATAGACAAATAGATCAATGGAATAGAATAGAGAGGCCAGAAATAGACCCCCTTAAATATAGTCAACTGATCTTTGACAAAGGACCAAAGGCAATACAATAAAGCAAAGATAGTCTTTTCAACAAATGGTGCTGGAACAACTGGACATCTATATGCAAAACAAAATGAATCTAGACACAGGCATTACACCCTTCATAAATATTAACTCAAGATGGATCATAGACCTAAACGTAAAATGCAAAACTATAAAACTCCTAGAAGATAACATAGGAGAAAACCTAGATGACCTTAGGTATGGTGATGCCTTTTTAGAGACAACATCAAAGACACAATCCATGAAAGAAATAATTGATAAGCTGGACTTCATTAAAATTAAAAACTTCTGCTCTGTGTGAAAGACACTGTCGAGGAAGTGAGAAGATGAGCCATAGACTGGGATAAAATATTTGCAAAAGACACATCTGATAAAGAACTGTAATCCAAAATAAACAAAGAACTCTTAAAATTTAACAATAAGAAAACAAACAACTCAATTAAAAAATGGGACAAAGCTCTTAACAGACATCTCACCAAAGAAGATATACATATGGCAAATATGCATATGAAAAGATGCTCTTTATTATACGTCATCAGGGAAAGGCAAGTTCAAACAACAATGAGATACCACTACACACCTATTTCAACAGCCAAAATCCCGAACACTCACGACACCAAATGCTGATGAGGATGTGGAGCAAGAGGAACTCTCCTATATTGCTGGTGGGAATGCAAGATGATGCAGCTACATTGGAAGACAGTTTGGCGGTTTCTTACAAAATTAAACCTACTCTTATCATAGGATCAAGCAATCACACTCTTTGGTATTTACCCAAAGGAGCTGAAAACATATGTCCACACAAAAACCTGTACATAGATGTTTACAGCAGCTTTACTCATAATTGCAAAATCTTGGAAGCAACCAAGATGTCCTTCAGTAGGTGAATGAATAAATAAACTGGTACATCCAGACAATGCAATATTATTCAGCACTAAAAGGAAATGAGTTATCAAGCTATGAAAAGACATGGAGGAAACAAATGCATATTACTAAGTGAAAGAAGCCCATTTGAAAAGGCTACATAATGCATGATTCCAACTATATGACATTCTGGAAAAAGCAAAACTATGGAGACAGTAAAAAGGTCAGTGGCTGTCAGAGGGGGTGGGGAATGGATGAATAGACAGAGCACAGATGATTTTTAGGGCAATGAAAATACTTTGTGTGATATTATAATGATGAACATATGTCCCTATACATTTGTCTAAACCCATAGAAAGTACAACACCAAAAGCGAACCCTAAGGTAAACTATGGACTTTGGGTGATTATGATGTGTCATGTAGGTTCATCTTTTCAGTAAAACATGTACCATTCTGGTGAATGATGTTGCTAATGTTGCATGTGGGGGGGTATGAGTAATCTCTGTAGCTTCCTCTCAATTTTTTTGTAAACCTAAAACTGCTCTAAAAAATGTCTTTAAAAAAAAGACATTGAGAAGAGAATGAAAAGTTCTAATACACATCTAATATGAGTTCCAGGAGAAAGAATAAAAGAGCATAGAGGAGAAGACTATCCAGAGAAAATGCCTGAGAACTTTCCATAATGAAAGTCATTTCTCAGGTTGAGGAGGAGTGATAAGTCTCATGTAGGATAATAAAAATAGATCCAACACCTAGACATATCCAGATGATATTTAAGAATATCAGAGACAAAAAGAAAACCTTTCACACACACACAAAAACAAAACAGAGAGACAAGACAAGATCCCTACAAAGCAATGACGATTAGACTGACACAAGAGAGATGTCAGAGACAATGAAATAATATCTTCAAAGTGATGAAGGGAAAATAACAATGAAGAATGGAGCAAAATAAAGACATTTTTCAGACAAAAACTGGGAGTTCTTTCATAGACTCTCACTAAAAGAATTAGCAAAGGATATACTTTAGCAAGATGGAAAAAGAAGAAACAAAGAGGAAACAATGAAATACAATAAACAATGATGAGCTAGGAAGTTGGCAAATATGCTGGTCCATTTAAACAAGCATTTACTAAGTAATAATAATGACTAATTTTTGTGGGGTTTAAAAACACATGGAACCAATATACTGGACAACAACAATTGTCCAGTTGGTACAAAGAATGTAGAATGTAGAAGGAATGTAATTAAATTATTTTACATTTCCTTTATTACTCGGGAAGAGATAGTGATTAATTTTAAATTTAAGTCAAAGATGCATGTTAAAACTTAGGGATTACTTCCTAAAATGAAGGAGTAGAACACCTTATTTTCAATCCACTAGAAAGAAAAGGGGACTAAAGAAAATTTGATCAATCTCATAGAAAGCGATAAAGGAGAAAGAAAGAAGCAAGAACATACTTGAATTTAAAAATAAATAAAATAGTGGGGAAGTGGGTCATGGAACTAAAGGGAGTTGATGACAGCTATTGGGAGCTAAAGTCTGAGCAGAATAGCAGGTCAGTCAGATTGCTAACGCTGAAGGGCAGGGTCCTTGCCTTTCTGAGATGCGTGTTTCTCCACTTCTCCTTTGTAATCAAAGCCAACTGCTGACTACAGAGAAAAGAAGAGAGAATTGGTTAGAGTCAGAGCTGACAGTTTTTCCCCTCCCCACTTACCCTTACTCCTAGCTCAGTCCAGAGGTTAGTTTATAGGGGCTCAGGGCTGAGTATGGGGTTTAACATAGAAACAGATGGTAGCCTGACAGGCTGGTGTAGACACAGTATGCTACAGAGCAAAGAACACAGGCTCTGGACACAGACCGCTCTCGACTCAAACCCCAACCTCACCTTCCCTATTTAGAGTTGTTTAACTTTAGGTATGTCCTTTAATACTACTGAGCCTCGGTCTCTTCAAGTATGAAATGCAAATAGGTATGCCTGCCTTATTAACCTCAACTATAAAATGAGAGAAATGATCCCTCTTTGTTTGGGATATTGTGAGGACTAAATGGGGCAAGGTATATGAAGCATCTGCATTGGGTCACTCAGTAAACTAGGGCTTTTCTTCCTACCTCTCATGAAATAAGATGAGATAACAGCTAGCAAAGTGCCTCGTAAACTATAAAGCACTATGTGCATGTAGGAGATATTATCCTATTCCTAATTGATTCTACTGTGCCTCTTCTCTTTCCCTACTCAGCAGTGGAAACCCAGATGTGGATTGTGGTGAGATGAGAGGCAACCAGGAGAGTCTGGATCCTAGCTGTTCCAGGACTGGATATATTGGCCTGTACCTAACATCCCCACATAGCTGCGTCCTTATCTGGCTCAGTAACTATGAGTCTCTAAGCAAGTCTAGATTTTGCATCTTAAGAGCTAGTCATGTGTACTGTCTCTTGATTTACATGACACACTGATTGTTTAGGTGATTTAGTTTGTGGCTCTGGAGGCAGAAGATGAAAGAGAGAACAATGAAAGATTAGGCAAAGGCAGGAGGGGGGACAAGATGGAAAGGAAATTCCATCCTGATTAGAAAAGAATATTACATGCTCCATATTCCATTAGTCTTAAAAAATTACCTTCTGCGCTTTTCCTTTCGCTTACAATGTTTTGAACTTTTCTGTTTTTTCCCCCCTACAATGCAAATAACATTCTCACACTTAACTTCAAGGATTCAGGCCCATCTAATTAACAACTGCAGGTAAAAAAAAAATCTCCGCTAGCTGTGAAGATGTCCTCTGTGCGCAGCTGCAGGAGAAGAGACACTATTCTGCGTAAAAAAATGAGATCAAAGAAGCTGATCTACTAAGATGTGAAAATAAGAACATCAATGAGTTATCAATCGTGCTCTCCTGACCACTCTCTCATCAGTAATCATACTGTCCTTGCTTTTCTCTTAAAAACTACTTTTTTGTACAAAAGAGTCTTTAAAACACCTGGACTTCACGGATGTGATGCTAAGTCCTGTGAAAAGTAACCTTTACCTTTTAAAAACATTGTAACCCTAATTAGTTGTGTTTTTTTTTATTATTTGATACATGGTAATAATATTTAAGCTGACATCTCTACTTTCCTGAAAAGCGTAAATTTTTATAAGGTTTTGAAGTTTGACCAAAAGAGGAGCTTTGGAATTCCCCTCTTCTCTCTTCATGCATACAGATATAATAAAAACCAACAGAGTCTTTGTCTCATTTAAAGTAACGCCTTTCAGCTCAGCACACGTCCTCCAACAGTGGCACCAAGGAACTTGCTGAGGGAGGCCATGGGAACTATTCTTGTGATGGACCCTCCTTGAGTCCACTGCCCTGTCTTTCCACAGGAAAAGCATAGACCCACATTCAAGGGTGAGTGTTGGTATGTCCCACATGATTCGAGTTGGGTGGCGTGGGGAGAGAGTTGTCACTTACCTTGTCTGCCCTGTCCTTCTCAACTCCATATTTGCCCCCAAAGCCTCTGGCAGCGTCAGTCTGAGAAGAGTGCTTCTCCACCTCAGCAACATACTCATGGCCCACAGCACTCTGAGAAAAATCAGGGATGGATTGAGTGACAAAATGACCATGAAGAAAAACAGATACAGAGATGGAATGGGATGTAAGAACACAGGAAATTTCATTCTGGGTCAGACTCATAGCCTCTGACAGTGGTGCCAAGGAAAATGTGATGGATGAGCAAGGTGACTTCTTCTGAAGCCTTGCACATCCTGGTTCTTCTTTAATATCATTAGGAACTCATCATTCAGGAAACTCCCATAGGACGGGCTGGAACCAGAAGGATAGAGACTAGGTAGATGGAGCAGTATTGAAACCAGAAACAAAAAGAGACCTAAAGCAAGGGCTTTGTGCTTCAAAAAAGAAATGAGGGTAGTTACAGGGGAGAGACCAAGGGGGACTGAGTGGATGCCATAGACAAGATTGAATATTTCACTAAAACAGCCAAGTGCTTTTTCTCTGGACCTTTGCTCCTGTATGACCATCAAAGTTCAGAAGTGCCACCTGAGCCCTGATGTTTAGCAGTGACTGACTCTTTATACCAAAGGGGGTTGGTAGACAATACTGTGACTAGTTCAAGATGGCATATTACTTAAATCTTTTTTATTCCATCTACTGTTTTATTTTCTATTTGCTCTTGAAACATACATCTCTTCTAATATTTAGATCTGGATGCCTTAGTAATCTGGGAATTGAGTAATATTTCAAACCAAATAATGATATCTTGCAGAGTCTCAACTGAGAAGAAATTAGAAAACTTCTCCTTCCTCCTGTATTTCCAATCCTATGCTCCAATAAACAACACCAATACACAGATTGATGTAAAAGCACTGCCCTAAATGAGCTTCTGGGAACTCATTTTGCAATATTTTTGGGTCTGTATAGGTCAACTTTGCTTGTTGAGTTTAAGAATGAATGACTGCTTGTCTATTTTATTTTTTCCTAGGAATTTTGTGGGAGAATACAATGCCTACACTACACTTTACACAATGACAAAACAAAACACTTCTTGAGGGTGAACTAAAGGCTTTCATTGGATTTTTTTTCTCTCCTTGGAGAGAAAACCTTTTTTCTTATAGGAATATATCTCTGTTTTTGAGGTTAGGAAAGTCAACAAAAATATGATTCAATATACAAGCATTCTTTTATCATGCTTTTATAGCATCTAATGGATAAAGGGAAAACAATATTCATATTTGAGGGCATCTAATGGATGAATTCACATCAATATTTTTCATATCTGTGTGCGTATCATATAAATAACGTATAATATATATACAAAAAGAACACTAAATACACAGTAAAGAAAACTTCTCTTGAATAATAAGAGAAGTTGCAACATAGACAAAATACACAAACATTTAAAAGCAGTAAATGATTTTAAAACATATATTTCCCTTCTCTAATTGTGCTCCCTGTCTTCTCAGTCTAGGACTTACAGTGTGCCTGGGCCTACAATAGGTCAGTCCTTCTAAATACTTGGCTCCCATTTTCTGCCATCCATATTTTACGTGTTGAGATCAGGGGAAAAAATGATACAAATAATATGTGGACATTCTATTTTAAAGGCCAAATGAACATTGTACTTTCGAACAGGTTTTAAACCATGAAACCAACAAATGAATCAATCTATCTTTTTTTTTAAAGCAAATACCTCCCTTTCAACTCACCTTGTCCATTCGGTCTCTTTCTACCCCAAACCGACCTCCGTAGCCATGAGATGCTTTGGGCCCTGATTCCATCTCCTTCTTCTTGAGAATATCATGCTCCTCTGACACTTTGTTCCTCAGCTTGTGGATGCTGGAAGTAATCACATGACAGAGACCCATCTAGCACAGGGAAGTCAGCAAACCCACCTTCCCAGAAAATTGGAAATGTTGATGTGTGATCTGTTTACTTTTAGCAATAAACTGAGGCCCCAAAGTCTACCAGTGTTGGGTCTGAGAGTAAGAGATTAGTGTGGCCTGCATACCATAGCCTGATTTAAACTCTCCATAAGTGAATATTATTTCCTCTAGACTGTGATTTTGCTCACTAAATAATCTTCTAATATTTAGTCCCATTTTTCATGTTCCTAAATATTAGAGGACAATGATACCTATATTCTAGTAACTGGGAAGTTATTTTCCTCTCTGAATGGATTTGCTTTCTAGCAATTAGGTACTCTATGTCAAGAAGCACAACAATATTCATATACCCTTTTACCCACACATTCTAGTCCTGGGAGTCTACCCCAAGGAAATAATTTAAAATATGGCAATGCTTAATGTCTAATGATATTCACTGAAATATTGTATATAACAGCAAGAACCGAGAAACAACTTATGTGGCCAATAATTGGAGAATAGTTAAGTAAATCACAATATTGCCTTTCAATTACATACTAGGAAGTCATTAAAAATGATGGTTATGAAAAATGTAGCACTGGAGAATTTATCTATACAGTAAATATTTAGTGTATTTTCTTGTCAAAAATGAATGCTCTTCACCCCCACCCCCAAATACGATAATTCCTGAAATAACTAAAACTAATAAAAGCTAACTAATAAAATTCACTTTTATTACTAATTGTTATAACACTTTAAGGCTCAAATAACCTTAATTTGGGACACCTCTATCCCCAAGAGAATGTAACACCTAAAGGAGACATTCTCCTTCTTACCTCACTTTTGTCTTTACTATGAGAGTAGAGAGCACCTTTGCATATCTCTTTGGCCTGAAGATATGAAGTGATAGCTCAGTACCAGCACCAGCACCAATAAGTGGCAGTCAGAACTGATACTTGGACACAGATAAGGACCCCTGGGGATTCTTAGAAACATTTGGGCAAGAGAATCCTAAATAAAAAAAATTTGACTTCCTGCAGCCAGAAATGGAAGTTTAGGGAATTGAGATAGTGATGTTACTGGGACTTACTAGCTCAAGAAAACCAGATACATTGGTTACAGGTAGAATGGCCATCTCACAGCGGAAGTGCTCCTCTTTCATGGAAGAATAGATCCATCTGGTGGCCTTGTATTCTAAGTCCACCAAAGGTCTTTTTAAAAAGCCTTCTCAGCTTTAGTCAGTTAATTTTGGAAAGCTGGCTTTGAACCAGATGAAATTAACCTAAGTGCTGGAAGAACCCTCTGTTCCAGACATGCCCTAAACTCTCTGGCAGCAGTGAAGGCAGAGATCCTGTGTTGCTGGTTCAACAACATCAACACTTTAGAAATGTCTGTGTCCAAAAAGCTGTTGGGTCCAAAAACATGTAAATGACTATTTCCCAGCAAAAGTATTCAGATGAAGAATGAAGAAAATAGGCCTAAACATTACTTTCAAATGGGAAAAATCTGCAAAGTTTTAACGAATCCAATGATTGCTACGTGGGTCATAACTATATTATAGTTGAAACAAGTTTTTATATATATATAAATATTTGGGGGGGCTTTGACAACTCATTTATTTAGTTTTTATTGAGGTACATGGATTTATAACATTATGTAAATTTCAGGTGTACATCATTATATTCAATTTCTGTGTAGACTACATCATGTTCACCACCCAAAGACTAATTACCATCCATCACCACACACATGTGC